GGACTAATTGCTGCCAAATTTGGCCACAAGACACCTACTAACCCAAGGAATGACCATCACTCAATTTTTTTTTGTCATTTGAGAGTTGTAGTTGCTGGGATTTATAGTTAACCTACAATCAAAGGGCATTCTGAACTTTACCAATGATGGAATCAATCAAGTGTAGCACACAGGACTCCCATGACCAACAGAAAAAAACTAGAAGGGTTTGGTGAGCATTGACTTTGAGTTTGGGAGTTGTAGTTCACCTACATCCAGAGAACACCAAGGACTCAAATAATGATGGATCTGGACCAAACTTGGAACAAATATTCCATATGCCCAAATATGAACACAGATGGAGTTTGGGGGAAATAGACCTTGATATTTGGGAGTTGTATTTACTGGGATTTATAGGTCACCTACAATCAAAGAGCATTCTGAATCCACCAACGACAGCATTGGGGCAAACTTCCACACAGAACCCCATGAGCAAAAGAAAATACTTAAGGCCATCCAGTCCAGCTCCCTTCGCCAGGGCAAGACAATGTAATCAAAGCCCTCCTGACAAAGAGCCATCCAGCCACAGATATAGATTAGATATATATGATTCACACACACATTGAGATATAGTATCATAGATTTGAAAGGGACCCCTAAAAAAGGACAATTATATCCTAGCATGTTCCAGAGTAGGCAAACCAGACAATTTCCACATCAACACTGACAAAGAAACAGCAAGAAATATTGTTTACCCACAAACATCAAGAAATTACATATATTAAAAACCAACACTTGCTCATTACTTTATTTTCCAGATCACCAGACTGGGCCACAGCAATGCGTGGCAGGGGATGGCTAGTTTAAAAATAATTTGGCTAGATACATGCTAATCACGCAGACACCGTGCTTCTGAGGTCCAATTTTCAGCCACAGTTTGCTCACTTTGCCCTGCATTGTTATATAGAGGCAATTGTCACTTTTACAACTAGAACTTTTATGCATTTATATTCTGAGAGGTGTCACAGGGGAACTCCTAGGGGACTCCTAAGGTTAAACTCCTCAGGCTATACATTGGGGGTCTTCAGGGGCTGCAAAACAAGCCCCAACAGGCTGTGAGCAGGCCATAAACAAAGCTTTCTTCACCCCTGTGATTGTAAATCTGAATCTCATTTGATATCTGATAATCTCCACCCTTGTGATTACCAAACTGAATTTGGCTTCATGCCTGATATATTGACGTCATATAGGTTAAGTGTCACCCTAACATTTCAGCAGCTATCTTTTTACAACAGCTCCACTGACTACTGGTCTGGTTATAGGCACAATTCAAAATACGCATCAAGATCTAAAATGTGTATTGCCATTTTGTAATAGCAAAATATCTCCAGAGACCCTATAATTGAGCCAAGCTTCTGTTATAATCTCTTATCACAAACTACTTTAGCCCCATAACTCAACTAAAATGTATAGTACAGCAACCTAATGAATTAATCTGAAATGCAGCCCACAGTACTGCTTCTTACAAGGTGGGTCCCAACCTTAAATGGGGTCCCCTTTGCTCAGTGTTGGGGTCACGAAAATTTGGCATCTGTACTTAGGCAATCCCTCATAGTCCGAGGATGATGGTCCTCCAAGGTTGGTGTCCTAGCGGTGGGTCCGTAGGTGACTGTGGAGCCCTATTCTTGACCTGAATCTTCTCCCACAGTGAGGGCATCGGATTCCAGGTGGAAGGCGGTCCCGGTCGGGGTTGGCTTGACGAGCCTTCCTCTTGGGAGGACAATAGCTTTATAAGCAAGCACCTTGGTATCCCTCAAACACTCTCTGCTTCATTCGGAAAAATGCTGCACTTGCAGAGCTCAGGCGGTGTTGTATTTCGGTGTCAATGTTGACTTTTGTGGAGAGGTGACTGTCAAGCTTGCGGAAATGGTCAACATTTTCTAATGTTACACCATTAAGCTGTATTTCTGGCATTGCAGAGGGATTGCCTGGTGACTGCTGGAAGAGCACTTTGGTTTTCTCAATGTTTAATGACAGGCCAAGCTTCTCGTATGCTTCTGCGAAGGTGTTTAGAGTGGCTTGTAGATTTTCTTCTGAATGCGCACAGATGATGTTGTCATCAGCATACTGGAGTTCTATAATAGATGTCATTGTAACCTTGATTTTGGCTTTCAGTCTGCTGAATCTTGCCATCTGTCCGATAGATGATTTCCACTTTTGTGGTAAGCTTCCCATCAACAAGGTGAAGTATCATAGCGATGAAGATGGAAAATAAAGTTGGGACAATAACACATCCCTGTTTGACACCTGATTCCATCTTAAATGGGTCACTTTGGGAGCCATGGCTGTCCGAGACTGTTGCCATCATGTCGTCATGGAGGAGCCGCAGGATGTTCACAAATTTGTTAGGACACCCGATTTTTTGGAGGATGGTCCAACAGTAAAAGGTTTCTGAATGTCACCTAGTGGTGGTTTTAGACATTTACACAAATCTACAGCACAGTGTTTACAGTGGACTTTGCAGATGAGTCTTGAGTTTCATGAAAAGGGGAAATTCGCTTGTTAAGCAAGCTTTGCAAATCCCAATTTATAATGAAATACTTTATTTTACACCTATTCCTTACATAGCTGAGATCATGTAAAAATTGTATTGGGCCGAAAGGGGTTGTGTAGCTGGATCTACACTGCTGTATAACCCAGTTTCTGAATCCTGATTATCTGATCGGAACTGGATTATAGGAGTCTACACTATCAAATAATCCAGTTCAAAGATGATAATCTGGATTCAGTAACTGGGGGTCCTTCCACACGGAATATCAAGGCAGAAAACCCCACATTGTCTGAGTGTGGACTCAGATAACGTAGCTCAAAGCAGATATTGTGGGATTTTCTGCCTTGATATTCTGGGATATAGGGCTGTGTGGAAGGGCCCTGGTTATATGGCAGTGTTGATGGGGTCTCAGTGGACAAAGTTTAAGACGCTCTATCTTAGGGCCCTTCCACACCGCTGTATAAAATCCCCCATTATCTGCTTTGAACTGGAATATATGGCATTGTGGACTCAGATAACCCAATTCAAAGCAGATACCTCATATTGTGGGATTTTCTGCCTTGATATTCTGGGTTATATGGCTGTGTGGACTCTGATAACCCAGTTCAAAGCAGATACTGTGGATTATCTGCCTTGATATTCTGGGTTTTATGGCTGTGTGGATGGGCCCCTGGGCTATCTGTTGTGGAGAAACTAGCAACTGTGAGGAGAAAAGCCATTTCACCCCCCAGAGGCCAGCACCATGTTTTTGTCCATTGGCTATAATTATTTATTTATTTCCTGGAAACTTTCCATGGACCAGTATAGATGACACATAGGGCCCTTCCACACAGCCATCTAACTCAGAATATCAAGGTGTATAATCCACAATATCTGCTTTGAACTGGATTATGTGAGCCCACGCTGGGTGATAGTATGATAGCTGGGTCTGGAAGCTCCGAGCTTTATGGAGAAGAGAGGTTGGAGTGAGAGCGGGGAGAGTGAAGGAAGGATAGAAAGGAGGAAACACTTAGGGTAAGGGTTAGGGCAAGGTTTGGGTTAGGGTTATGGTTAGGGTAAGGGTTAGGGGTTATGGTTAGGGTATGGTTTAGGGTTAGGGTAAGGTTTAGGGTTTGGGTTATGGTTATGGTTAGGGGTTTAGGGTTTAGGTTTGGGTTAGGGTAAGGGTTAGGGGTTATGGTTAGGGTATGGTTTAGGGTTAGGGTAAGGGTTAGGGTAAAGTTTAGGGTTTGGGTTATGGTTAGGGGTTTAGGTTTGGGTTAGGGTTATGGTTAGGGTTATGGTTAGGGGTTTAGGTTTGGGTTAGGGTAAGGGTTATGGTTAGGGTACGGTTTAGGGTTAGGATAAGGTTTAGGGTTTGGGTTATGGTTAGGGTTATGATTAGGGTTATGGTTAGGGGTTTGGGTTAGGGTAAGGGGTTAGGGTTAGGGTATGGTTTACGCTTGGGTTAGCGTAAGAGTTAGGGTTAGAGTAATGTTTAGGGTTTGGCTTATGATTAGGATTAGGGTTTGGTTTAGGGTTAAGGTAAGGGTTAAGGTTAAGGTAAGGTTTAGTGTTTGGGTTTTGGTTATGGTTAGGGTAAGGGTTACGGTTGGGGTATGGTTTAGGTTAAGGGTTAGGGTTATGGTTAGGGTAAGGGTTAGGGGTTATGGTTAGGGTATAGTTTAGGCTTAGGGTAAGGTTTAGGGTTTGGGTTAGCGTAAGTGTTAGAGTTTAGGTTAGAGTAAGGTTTAGGATTTGGGTTATGGTTAGGTTATGGTTTAGGGTTTGGATTTGGGTTATGGTTAGGGTAAGGGGTTACGGTTTGAGTATGGTTTAGGTTAAGGGTTAGGGTTATGGCTAGGGTAAGGGTTAGGGGTTACAGTTAGGGTATGGTTTAGGTTAAGGGTTAGGGTTTGGGTTATGGTTAGGGTAAGGGGTTACAGTTAGGGTATGGTTTAGGGTTAGGGTAAGGTTTAGGGTTTGGGTTATATGATTAGGGATTACGGTTAGAGTATGGTTTAGGGTTAGGGTTAAAGTAAGGATAAGGGCAAGGTTTAGGGTTTAGGTTAGGGGTTAGGCTTCCGGTTCAGGGTAAGGGTAAGGGTTTCACCATGAAAGAACTCTTCCATCCCTTCTCTGTTCTCTGTCTCCGGCCTGGCTTACATGAGCGAAGTCTCTCTTGCGCAAACTGCGCTCCCAAAGGAGCGATGCGGCCTCTCCGTAACGTTCGGTGCCTCCGGACCCAGCCCTCCTGCTCCCACCCCGCACCGACAGACCATCCAGCTCAAGGTGGATTTTATACAGCTGTGTGGAAGGAGCTTGAGCTATTCGCAACTCCAGGGGGCGCTGCGGGATTCCTTCCTCGATTTCTGGGAGGCGCTCTCCCCTCTCTCTTGTTCCCCTCGGAGCGGAGGAAGGGGAGGAAGAGGCGGAAGTGGCTGGCATTGGCAGGGCGCGAGGGAGGTGAGTGTGTGTGTGTGAGAGAGAGCGAGCGGCGCGCGGGGCGCTTCTACACCAGGCATGAGCAAACATAGGCCCTCCAGGTGTTTTGGACTTCAACTCCCACAGTTCCCCTTTTCCTCGGGGAAAAGGAAGAGGCCTGAGGCTGTTAGGAACTGTGGGAGTTGAAGTCCAAAACACCTGGAGGGAGGGCCCAAGTGTAGACTCAGCCTCGGGGGCAAAGTTAACTGACGTGGCGCTGCAGTGACAGCAAGAAATGTCCCAGCTGGCCTTGTGGGTGTCAGGCTCCTGCAAAGGGGCAGGAGTTGGCTTGGGGGACCCGCGCCACCTGCCCAGAGGTGAGAGTCTCCTAGTGACTCCTGGAGGCCGCAGCTTCCCCTCCTTGGCAGGGAAAGGCTTGTGGATTCCTCAGTTGGCGACCCCTCCGCCCCCTTGGTGCCTTTCCAGCTTCCCAGAAGTCCAAGTTCGAGTGGCCGAGAATTTGAAAAGTCCAGGACAGGCCAATGTCGGCAGGAGCTTTTGGGCTGATTTTTCGGGGCTGCATTGGCTCCCAATGGCGTTTCTGAGTACACCCGCTGCTCCTTCCCCCCATTGCTTGTCTCCCCTTCGTGGTGGGAAAGGATGCCTCTGTGCTTGAGGACGGTGGCCACAAAGGAGGAAGCCACCTACTCACCTGGTCACCAAGGGCATTCCTACAGATCCTACAGCTAGATCAGAATTTCAAAGACAACAGAAGACCCACCTCTTTTGGCAGGCCTACCTAGTAATTATTAGCTTGTTAATTTTAACCTGCATTTTAACTAGTATGTGTTGTCGAAGGCTTTTATGGCCAGAATCACCTGGTTGCTGTGAATTTTTTGGGTTGTATGGCCATGTTCCAGAGGCATTCTCTCCTGATGTTTGCCCACATCTGTGGCAGGTATCCTCAGGGGTTGTGAGGTCTGTTGGAAACGTGGCAAGTGAGGTTTATATATACTGTTAGGGGACCCAAATATTGAGCTAAAGGGACCCAATTTGGGGTCGTGACCCACAGTTTAAGAAGCAGTGCTCTAGACTCATCCTGGACATTGTGGCTCTTTGGAAGTAAATCCTACTGCGTTTAGTGGTGCTTGCTTTCTCATAAGTGTTCATTCATCATTTTTCTCCATAGGAACTCAAGCATATTCATTCACCAAGCTAGTTGGAAGACTGGTTTTGGTTTATTAAAGACCATGTCCAGATCCGGAGGAAAAGGGGTGAACCTAAAGGACAAACTAGAGGGCAATGAATTGGACCTCAGTTTGTGTGACCTGAATGAAGTGCCAGTTAAAGAGCTGGTTAGTATATGTTTTCATTTTGGCTATCAAATACTACAAACAATGTAAAAGCCATATGATTGTATTTGCTTGTGAACTATGTATGATATGTAGCAGGAAGTCAGTTGGCCCTTCCTCATGAGAGGCTTAAACCAGTTTTTGAAATATACATTGATTACATTCTGAAGGTATAAATCTAGAAATTTTAGCCAAAATATTGACCCCAGAAGCCTAAGTCAACTTACACATGGGTCCCTGTAAGTACTGTGCCTTAATGCTTATAAAATAAAAACTATCCACAGAGTGGCAGGAGACAAGAGTTTAGTCTGTTCATGGAGAACCTAAAAGAAGTATTCAACCCTCTCTGCTCTTTTAACCTTGGCACCACTTTTTGCCTTTTGAATCTTGGGAAATGGTGGCAGCAGTGGGCAGTGGCATCTGGCTCCCTGTGATGGTACTGCCGCTTTCTTCTCTCTGTGGAATGGCTATCAAGTTATTCACAGCTCATACAAAATGCATAATTTTCATCCTCAAACTTGCACTCAACATGAGGTCAACTTGTACATTGGAATATATGATAAATTGTCTCTGTTTTGAGAAAGGTACAATTCTGAAGAATACAGTAGGTCCTCAACTTTCACAGAGGTTAGGAGCTCAGAATCATGTGAAAGTAGGAAACTATTTTACCTGAAATTATTTTACCTGAAATAATACCTCTTGAGATCTTTCTGCATGACTCTATGATTAGCTTCCATCAGAAGTTTATTTTACACTCCTAGACATTCCTAGAGAGAACTTATCAAATAAATCTGTGGTCAGATCCACAACAGTTAAGCCTACAAATCTGGAAGGATGACTGTAATATATAGATTTTAGGAAATGAATTATTTTCACTGAAATGAATGATATATGATTGATATCACTGGTTTGCAATCTGAATTACATGTAGTAAGGGATAAGCCCCAGAGGACACAAGGTAACTAATGTTTAAGTAGGCATATATAGGATTGCACTGTTAATTTTGTTTGTTTCTTTGCAGGCAGCACTTCCAAAGGCAACTATTTTGGATTTGTCTTGTAACAATCTTACATCATTACCTGTAAGTTGTAACTTTTTTGCTTTGTAGCGATGACTCATGTAGATGTGATCATAGGTGTAGTAACTGTAATAATGATGGTAGAGATAATTCCCTGGGCAGTGATTGCTGGTGTTTACCATGTCAGTAGGATGGAGATTTCACTCCATGTTTTAGTCTGAACCTTCAAATATCTGTCAAAGACGTTGAGCCGGTTTTAGGGACAAGAATCAGCACTACGGATTGCTAATGTAAAGTTCAGAATAAAACTTTGGAGTAGATGCACTGCCTTACTCAAATGCCACAGTCCTTAAAAGACCAGCATCAAATACTGACTCGTAATTAGAGACAGAAATGCATCTGATATTTCAGAGAAGAAAGATATGCCATAATGAGATACTTTCAAACTGGATTAATAAATATATCAGTGAATGGTAGCTTTGGGTTCTAAGTCTTCCACTATTGATATGTAAGGAAAAAATCATTTAGAGAACACAGATTCTCTCAAGGAACCATAGGATTAATGTGATTATTATAGCTATGACTTTTCTCTTACTATATGTTTTTAGATCTGTTTCTCTATTTACAGGTTTACTATGAGTTGACGTATGTTCATAATTTCTCAAATTCCTTCAGAAAGGCTATGTGCATCATCTTACTATTATCTTACTAGTGCTTAGTTCTTCAACAGCACCATGCTCTTTGTACTTATCTGAAAAGCATCTCTTACTGATTTTAGTAGGGTTTACTTTCAGGTAGGCATGTATAGAGTTCAAAGCTGCTTGCATCAACTTTTGTTAAGATAATGGGTTGGACTTTTTGTTTTGTTCTTTTTTTAGTCTGATTTCTGCAGTTTGACCCATCTAGTGAAACTGGATTTAAGTAAAAATCAGCTTCAGCAACTGCCTTCAGACTTTGGTCGCTTGGTCAACTTGCAACATCTGGATCTGCTGAACAATCGATTAGTAACTTTGCCAGTCAGTTTTGCCCAACTCAAGGTAATCCTTTCCATGTCTAATTCTTAACTGAAGTAAGACCATGGGTTTGGAGCAGAATATTTTCTTTTAGTAAAATTTATTTCTCAACTGCAAGGGAGCTAAAATTGAAAAAAAATTGCCTTTCTTCCACTAACAGAAAATATACTGTGCAGAAAATTGATTCCTCAACTGTACTTATTTCCCTACTTTTTCTATGATTCCGAATGACCCCCTCTCCCTTTGTATGCCACAGAAATATGGCCTGCAGCTCAAGAATTTTCCCACCTGTTTTAAATGCTACTTCCTTTATAAAATCCCATTAGCTGTACCTACTAAAAGTACAGCTAACTTACCATTTTGCCCTTGTGTTGAAGTCTCCCAAATAGTAATATGGATGTTGACATTTTAAAAGTGCGTGGCTGAAACGACTAAATTACAAAAGCAGTAGTTTGTTATGAACTGCAGGCATTGTTTTGGAAATATGAGTACATCTCCAGTGTAGCTCTATGTAATGCTCATGTGTACTCAGCATCATGGGCCTTCTAGGAATTCTAATGTCAAGTCAAATGCTTCCAAGTAGGGAAACTGAAAATTCTTGGAGCTGACTTGAGCTAATTTTGTCTGTATTTTCCTTCGTCAGAATCTGAAGTGGCTGGATCTGAAAGACAACCCCTTAGATCCTATGCTAGCAAAGGTTGCTGGAGATTGCTTGGATGAAAAACAGTGTAAGCAAGCTGCCATCAGAGTAAGGGATCTTTCTATTTGTCTTGTTGGCTCCCTTTCCTTTTGTTGTGCTGATTAATTAGAAGCTGTTGATATTTTTTCTTCTGGAGTTTTAGACATGTAAAAGCTCAGTATAAACTACAATCTTTCACAACATGAATTGAATTCCATTTTACTATAAATACTATTTTATATGGCTTAAATGTGATTTGCTCCAGCTCTGTGGATATTTCCTATTAAGAACAGACATCTTTATGAAGACTGTAGAACTGTGGCTTTGTTTTAATCTTGTTTATCGGCTACATTAAAACGATTAGAGTTCTACATTAATGCAGTGGGCCCTGTACTCAATCAGTTGCGTTGGGCAGATGCACGTCAATAAGCATTAGGCATTTCATCTAGCACTCTTTTTTAAAAGACCAAACTTGTTTATAGTATATTCAAGAACAAATGTGGAGCTGTGTGAAGGATGTCATCTTTTTGAGAAGCTGTGCTGACAATTTTTTGTCCTATTTTAATTGAAAATAAATTCTTACTCCAGACAAATTGCCTTTAGAGCTAGGGTTTCCTTCTCACTCTGTATGTAATGTGACTTTGCTGCCTTTTTCATTCATAGCATTATTCACCCTGCAGGCACTGCTGTTGTTGTTTTCTGCTTGTGGTATAATGTGCTGTAGATTGAGTAGGTCATCCCAGGTAGGAATGGTGGTCCCTCCCTGGTGGGAAAGAGGGCCTGGATTGGATACTTGGATTGCCTTAATTCTGCAAATGCAGTCAGAAAACACGTTCTTTCTGGATGAAGACTGGACAAAGAAACTGTATTGTAAAACCGACTTTCCTTAGTTTGTCTTGGATGCCTATTGAAAACATTAGCAAAAACTAATGTCATGCAATTGCCTTAAATCTCAAGGTACTGCAGCATATGAGAGCCATTCAGTCCGAATTAGATCGCGAGAGGCAACAGAAGCTGCAGGCAGAGCGAGGTAGGTGTGGTAGTTCACTCCTTTTTGATGTACATGACTACACTTGCTCTTTGTTTATGAATTAAGAGTTTATGAATTAATTGTTGTCTCCGATTGTTAATAAGTAAAAATGGATGAGAGAGGCTAGAGCAGGCATGGGCAAATTTTGGCCCTCTAGGTGTTTTTGGACTTCAGTTTGTTCATTTTTTTCAGTTAGTTCACACACACTCCATCCATCTGCCACTGGCTTGGCCTGTATGTAAAAATTTATATAACATATAAACATTTCTGGGGACTCCATGAGAAGCTTTTACTTTATAAAGGGCGCCGCAACTGAAAACGTTTGAGAACCCCTGGTTTAAAGGGTTGGGTTGTTATTTTTGGGTGGTGTCAATCAATAATGGGCTAAGTGCATGAAGTCCTCAGACCAGATTCAACTGTATTCACTTGAAAATGTACTTCCCCCTGAAAAGAGATGTGATGGCATCCCACCCCATTTCAGGCAGCCTGAATATTCAAATTAGTGAAAGCAGTGGAGGGCAGTTGTCTGTTATCATTTTAAAATGTGTTACCAAAAATGTGCCCAATGTTAGTGTTTTATGCGAGTTGAGCATTATTAAACCATCTTGAACACCCCAGAAGTGAAGGATAACAATAATTAAAATCACTCACATTTTCTATAACTAAAATTCTACATTGACACACAGAGAGATATGTGATATATTTCTGTTCTTGAGGGCAATTCAGGTGGTTTCCTCTAAGTGAGATCATAAGCCACAGTCTTCGCTATTTTATTCCCCTCACACTCTCACTGGATTTGTTGTGCTATGAGTTTGAATCATTTCATTTTGTAATTGCTGGGGGAGTAGCTTATTCTTGACTGCTTTTATTATCACATGAATCAGTACTTTGAAACTCAGTTGTGTTCCTACTCAGTCTTGTATAAAGGGTGCAACTGAATTGGGACATTGTACAATATGTGATCCCTGTCCTTCAAGAATCTCTTAGCATCACGATGAGGCAATGCCTTATTAGATTAAGGACGAGGCCATGCAATATGGCCTGATTTCCACATTTTTTTTCAAGTGATTGCTTAATCCCAACACTTTCTCAACTCATCTGACACCTGCCAAGGCTTGAAAGTTGGTTTTCCTAGAATTTGAGGCTGCCTGCCTTGTCATTCAGGCACAAACTTCTGAAATTACTCCTTAAACAAAATGCTAGTTTATAATCCCATTCAGTTATATGATCATACATAATATGCAAATAACTTAAAACTCATTTTGTCATAGAATCTATGTTTTTAAGTAAGTAAAATAAACCTGATTGCATACGAGGACAGTCCTAACAAAAGTAGACATTTGGAATGAATGCTTTAGTAATCAAATATGGCAAGGAGCCATTGCCATAGCAGTGGTACAAATGTATTATTTCAGTTCAGTTCAGCCGACAAATGAGTGTCATATCTCAATCTGACACACATGAAGGCTTTTAAAAGTGAATGGATGCTTTCTGTTTGTGCTGAAACTCAGAGCTGGAGAAGAAACGTGAAGCAGATCGGCGAGCAAGAGAAGCCCAAGAGAGGGAACTTCGTAAGCGGGAGAAAGCTGAAGAAAAAGAACGCAGAAGAAGGGAATATGATGCCCTGAGACTTGCAAAACAGGAAATGACAAAACAACCAAAGAAAGAAACGGGTAAGAATTAAAACTGCCCAAGTGACTGTGTGTGAATGCATGCAAATATGTATGTGAGGGAGAAAGGGACAATGCCAGTGCAAACAATGTTCTCCACAGTTTTCATTCCCTTATTGTGAGGGAGGAGGGGGTCATTACTAAAAGACTATAGTAGGGTTATCCCTTTTCTTAACACATATCACTAGCATAGAATTTGCTGGATGTTTAGTGAAATAAAATATGGTTTTTGAACAAGTGTAAGAACAGAATCAGTTAACATTCCATGCTTGTATCCAGATATTATATATACACACACACTTCCTGGTAAATCATAAGTGGGAATATTTTGACCTACAGCTTGCTCTGAGTCAAAAAATGTCCACCTACACATTAAAGGTAGTGGCTTATGGTATACTTCTTTTATTTTTGTTCATTTTTGAAGCCTTTAGACTCTGAAAAAGAAACATTCAAAATAACAATGGATGCAACAAAATGTCTCTTCATTCTCCTCCCAACATTTCCAGGACAGGAGACATTGGTGTATACTAGTATAGTGGAGCCTCTATTTAAGAACACCCCCAACTTAAGAGCATTTTGAATTAAGCGCCTGCACCAGAGAGAGCACTAGCACGAGAGTACAGGGCTTTAAGGATTCAAGGGAGCAGCCCCCATGTTTTGTGCCTTGTGTCTCCATGTTTCATGCTCTTGTCCGCTTCGGGAGGTTGCTGTTTTGCTCTTGTCCACGTTCAGGAACTTTGGGTTAATTGATTTAGTGTAGTTTTTATTCCTGGTACGTTTGGCTTCATGAAGAGGGACCGGGAGAGAGAAAGAGAGAGAGGGAGGCTGAAATGATTGTGAGGAAAATGATGCTTCTGCCTCTTCGCTTTGTGCTTCCTTGCCACAACTTTGTGTTCCTCCCATTTTAAAGTTGATCTTTCTTTTTTCTTTTTTTTTTTAGTGTTTGACGTGAAAGAGCAGGTTTTGCCTTTCTGTTACATTGGCCAACATACATTTTGTTGCCTCAAATGTGCTTCCTTGCCACAATTTTGTGCTTCTACCATTTTAAAGTTGATATTTCTTTTTTATTGTTATATGTGAATGTGCATTTATACACTATTTGTTATTTATAAAGTACATTTTTAAAATTTAAAAACATGTAGCAAAAAATTGTTGTGGTTTTTGTGGGGCCAGAACAGATTAATAGCATTTCAATGGGAAGATTAATTTTTGAGATAAGAGTGTTTTGAATTAAGAGCTTGGTTAGAGAATGAAATAAACTCTTTAAGTTAAGGTATCACTGTACAGTGCCCTCGCATACCTCTCATCCTGGAAATGGAGAGTAAGAAAAAATGCCCATTAAATCAAGGAAATCAGTCAAGTTATCTAATAGGCACATTCTGCCATTCTTTTAAAGATTTTGTTTGTAATAGCATCTTTCTGAGGGATTTTGTTACCTAAACCAATTCCATTTGGTTTTACAAATTAAGCCTGTTCATATATGGGAAGGGGAATCCAAATCACATGAACACCATGTTATGATTTTAATAGCTCTATCGTTGATTCTGCTTAAATGGAGGAGATTCCCCGCAGTAGGCTTTTACAGAACTTTCTATAGGAAAAACTGGGCTGCTGAGCATTGTGTTATTAGAACTGTGAGTCTAATCCCTTTAATCTCATTCTTGTCTGCCCTTAATTCTAACAGAGCCCTCATCTTCCCGTCCATCACGGCAGCCCCAACACAAACGCTCCTGGTCCAGAGTCTTATTGAAGATACTGCTGCTCCTGCTCTTAGGTGCCTTGAGTACATTGGTTGTTTGCAGGTTTACGGAGCTGCGGCGCCAACCTGTCTGTATTAGCGTCAACATGCTCTATGAAGATACACTGACCCTTTTACGAAGTCGTGAAACGCTTCAGAACGTCCTGCAGCCAAACTCACAGCAATAACACTGTTTCAGCTTTAGAGGACTATTCCTTTGACAGTGTCTCCTGCTGGTTTTACATCAGAACAGCTAGGATTCCTATGGAATTGAGCTCTGATGAAAATTGCTGACAGATCATTCAGCTTTGGTGGCCTACATAGAACTGAGCAGAATTGCTGCCAGTATCTTTTCCTCCTTCACTGTTCTGTTCCTAAGGCAAATGTCTAATTTTCCTCCTCCATAGCAGAGTGTCTGCAAGTCTGCAAAATGCAGGTTTTGGGTCTCTAGAACAGGCCCCATATTCTTAACAGCTTAGCTGTGACTATTGGGATCTATTTTGTCATCTTAAGAAGTCTTTATATTTAGTTTTGTTTTAATGTTATTGCTACAGGAAATCCATATTGATTTGGGGAATTAATTCTATGCTATGATGGCTAAATTACTCAGTGGAGAATGAAGCTAATAACATGCTGGCTAATGTTTCATATCTAATGCTCAGCAGCTTTATGTTTGGTCTGTGGATGGAAACATGTATTTTATATACTGTAGCTACTAACGAAACAACCCTATTGCGGAAGTGCACAACTCTGTATAACATTCACATCTGTCAAAATGTGATCTTTCTGTACACTTGCCTCATTGTATCTTTGCTGTACCAACCAGGAAGTGTGCTGGAAAGGGCTTGTGAAATTTGCACCACAAAATTTAGGACTAAATGCATTGTTTTATTAATGTCATTAAAAAAAACGTAAAATATATTTTTACATTTTGTATGCTTACAAACAATCCGGATACAGTTCTGTCCCTGCGCCAAAGTGCTTTTTCTTGGGAATTGTCACATCAAAGAGAGTAAATCATTATATATTTTAAAAAATTACTGGCTTTGGATTTTTGTCTGGCTTTACACGAGATTAAGCAGGCAGTTTTCCTTTCCCCTCATACCAAGACGCAACTGTGATGCCCAGTTTGTACCTGCTATTCTTGTTTTATTGACCACAAATGTATATCCTGCATATGTTCTTCTAACAGAATACTGGAGTGACTTAGCACTGAAGCTTTTGTTTACCATGCAAACCTAATCACGAAGTATGTTTTATGTAATTACATTTACTCAGGTTTAGGTACCGTAAGGCACGAGAAGGAGGGATTGTGCAAAAAATGCTAATTGGGAGAAGGGTCTTAATTTCTAATCTTGGTAAAATAAATTGTCTTGTCCCTTCCCACAACTTTCTGGCACTATTTGATGGTGGAGAAGTCCTGTTATAAGCTGTAATTCTGAATATCTTTCCTCCAGTAAATAGTATTTATAAAATACTTGTGACTTGAATTATTTTCACACCTCTCAATTATATTTTATTCTTGTGCATTGAAGGTGGCTTTATATTCTTAAGCACAAAAGAGTACACCGCTTAAAGATTTATGAGCTTTGAGAGGAAAGAATACTCTGCTTCCATGTTGACATAATCAGATTTATGTTGATAAGAGAATTCTTCATATATTTAAGCATATATGACTATAGTAAGCCGCAGGTAGATAGATTGGTAATCAGTGTATACTGTTATTTATGTTCCGAAATTGGAGATAATTTTCATTTTAAAATGCTTCCCAGAACATCTTTAAAGGATGGACACAATTGTTAAATAATTCTTGGCCAAAGAGAAACATTTTTGAATGTGCAGAAAGGAATCTGGTAGGGATGAATAATTGTCCTTTGTAAGGCTCTCTAAACCATAATGCATTTTTCAGAAGCATTTCCCATAATTTATGTAGTTTCATTTTTTTAAAAAAAATAGCTTGACCAATTTCAGATCATCCAGTAACATCCAGGGAAAGGTCAGGATTATGGGAAGTCATTTGCAGGTAAATCCGCTTTGAAAGGTCTGGTCCCACTCGCCTTGTCGTGGCTGTCACACCATCACCCCGGCGGACAGGTGTCTCCCGCAGAAGGTTGTATCGCTCTTGTTCAGAAGAGCACTGCTGATAGGCCTAAGGTTTATATACAAAAAAGTAGGCATGCTCAACAAGCACAATCAGCCAATATACTTAATTACAGTTAAAATAACATATTTCCCATATAAATTCTCCCCTCAGCCCCTGGCTGTTTTGAATCACAATTCTTTTAAATGATCTTCAGCCTACAAATAGCCTACATAACATTTCACCATATCCATCCAGGTACAGAGCTTCTGTGCTCAAGTTTACAAACCAACCACAGATCTATTCCTTAACATTTTGCAATCTACACATTAAAGACTAAGTATAGATGGCTGAGAAGGAAATCAAAACTAATTTTAACAGCTAGCTGAGAAACAATGTTTTTTCTCCCAGCTCCGTTATACTCCCCTTGCAAATTGTCAGGGAATTGACCACAATATGTGTATACCAGGTTGCTGTAAGTTTTCCGGGCTGTATGGCTATGTTCCAGAAACATTCTCTCCTGATGTTTTGCCTGCATCTATGGCAGGCATCCTCACAGGTTGTGAGGTCAGTTGGAAACTACGACAGTGTGGTTTATATATCTGGAATGTCCAAGGTGGGAGAAAGAACTCTTGTCTGTTTGAGGCAAGTGTGAATGTTGCAATTGGCCACCTTGATTAGCATTTAATTGCATTTGTAGTTTCAGGGGCTGGCTGGTTCCTGCCTGGGGGAATACTTTTTTGGGAAGTGATTAGCTGTTCCTGATTGTTTCTTGTCTGGAATTCCCCTGTTTTTGAGTGTTGTTCTATATTTAACATTTTGATTTTAGAGTTTTTTTTAATGCCATTGAAAGATACATTATATAGCACGAACAGATGATGCTGTTATTGTGCCTTCAAGTAATTTTGGACTTAGACCACCCTAACATTTCTATAAAAAAGGCCCAGGCCACAGTTCTGTGCATACTTACCAGGGTGTAAGCTAACATTAAACACAGTGGGACTGATTTCTGAGTAAATACAGACTGGACTAAAATATACAAGCAACTTCCAATAGCACATGGAGTTTGTCCTCCAGGACAGCAGGGATTTGGGTTATTAAGTAAACAATCTATAATAATAAAACTTAGATTTGTGATCTTGAACTGATTCACTCTCTATATTTGGTGGGGTTTTTATGTAAATTGAAATCTTTCCCCAAGAACCCAGTAATGTTGGGTTTCTTTATGTCTGTAGACAGTTCTTAACCCAGAAAACAGCATAGTTATAATGGAAAACTATTTTACCTTCATCAGCAGCATTGGAGAGGGATACTGGGCCACAATAGCACTTGCCACTTCTAAACTGACCCGGCTGAACTGCTGAATCTGCTTCCTCCAAACTTGGAGCAGACCCTTCCCAGAGCGGTCTACTTTGGTCCCTGAAATCCAATCCCCCTCTAGGCAAAAGGAGAAGCTGGTTTTGTCGCGTTCTCTTCTGCAAAAGATCCAAAGGAGAAATACAACACGATGAAGGGAGAAATGTACTACACTTAACACTTTGGTATGACTACAAATAGAAGAAAATAAAAAGGAGGGGTTTACACAGGATATGAATATGGGCTAAGCTAATGCATTATTAATATAAGCTGACCATATTTCCAAAACACACACTTATCTTGAAGACGACATCATAAGTAGCTAAAGCAACCAGGTCTTTTGGTCTCTTAGAAACCTCCCTAGGAATACTGATCAGGCCTAACTTCAAAGATTAGTATTCCTATTTCATTTGGATATAATGGCATTGGTTGAACTGGAAAGTCTCCTGGCTGTTATTGTGTGCCTTCGAGTCATTTCCAAAATAAAACAACTGCAAGATGAACCAATCACAGAGTTCTCTTGGCAAGATTTGTTCAGGGGAGATTTACCATTGCCTTGCTCTGAGGCTGAAAGAATGTGATTTGTACAAGATCTCCCAGTGAGTAGCCATAAGTGTGGATTTTGACCCTGGTCTCCCAGAATCCTACTCTAACATGCAAATAACTTTTTTTCGTGTCATGAGCAACTTGAGAAACTGCAAGTCGCTTTTGGTGTCTGCAAGGACATTGCTTAGGGGACGCTTTGATATGTTACTATCCTGTGAGGGATTTCTCTCACGTTCCCGCATGAGAAGCTGGAGCTGACAGATGGGAGCTCACCCAGCTCCCCGGATTCGAACCGCTGACCTTTCAGCCAGCAGTCCTGCCGATAAAAGGGTTTGACCAACTGCACTACCGGGGGCTCCTCACATGTGTCACTGCACCACACTGACTCTTAGGATGATATCACCAGCAAAATGGCCAAAATGCAGCCCCTGAGAAGTTCACGAGAAGTGCTGCTAGAAAGCTACCGACAATTTGCTCACTCACTTGAATGGTGCTTCAGCCACAGCCTTGGTAAACATACTGGCAAAATCAGCAAACTCCTTCCAGCTCTCAAGCATCTGAACCTGGACACCTGTGTGAAGTTGCAGATCCACCAAGGCCTGTAAAGCCAAAAAGAGATGATGAGTGATGAGGTTCACCTTTGAAACAAGAGACACCATTGCTACTCAAAGCACCACAGACTACTTTGGTGCAGGTGTACTGCTTTTGTTATGCCCCTTGTTTAAGACACAATATCAAAAGTGCAAAAATGAGCAACCCAACACCTGTACATTGAATCTTAATCCGTCATAGGTTTGTGTAGTCCTAACACTTCTTGAATACTCCTGCATACAAAATCTTAATAATCACTCCTGTAAACATCCTGTTAACCTGCGGTCAACTGCAAATATACAGTACATATTTGTAAGCATTACAAGCTTCAACTGTTCAAATTATAACTCCAGTTAAGATGCAAATGTATTGCCCGACAATAATTCTTTAACAGACAATTTGGTCCCAAAGGTAGAAGTAGCATGAAACGCATAGAGATAGGTTGCTACTCTACAAAAAAGAAGAGCAGTTCAGCGTGTTTCAGGAAACATTTTATCAAAACTAACAATATATACAACCAGTTCAGGTAACCTTACATACGTTTTTTAAAAATAACATTTTTGAAATTTCTAGAAAGAACCCAAAGGCTTCTTTCAAATACATGCAAGGATGATTTTTTCCCTACCAATGTTTCCAATATTTTTCCTACCAATGTTTGTTTGTTGCAGGCAGACACACATGGCTACAGCAGGACCAACTAGGATAAAATCCCTTCTTTCCCAGCTCAAATTTCACGGTATTATTTTCTACAGGCCTGTGCTGCAACCCAATATTAAAAGTCTGTGTTTCTTCAGCCCTCCTTTGCCATTCTCTCATTGTCAGTGTAATTAAAATCTTCCAGCTGGGCAGAGGATGGGGATGAAAGGTTGGGCTGGATGGGCATAAAGACTCTGCAAAAAGAAACTTCATTTTCTGCCCATCGTGGCTTTCACCTTTGCTACAGCAATGCAGCTGTGGGCCTCCTGTGAAGACTGAGGCCTAGCAGCTGGTGATACTTTATCTAAAATGTCAACAATGACTGAGACACTAATCAAACAGAGGAACCACCATGACCACCCAAAACGACTTTCAAACTCACTTCTTCTACATCGACTCTGGATAAATCAAGCGTGGAGTTTGCTTTCCCTCTCCAGTTCCTTTGTTTGCTCAGCTCCTGTGTTTCACTGCCATTCTGCACTGCTTGTCTCACTTTCTTTGGACCCTTGAGTTTGTGAGAACTTAGAAGACAAAGTACTGATTAATAATAATAATAATAATAATAATAATAATAATAATAATCTTGATTTATACCCCGCCGCAATCTCCCCAACGGGAACTCGGGGAGGCTTACATGAGGCCAAGGCTAATCAACAAATTACAGCTAAATAAAACCAAAAACACATAAACAAGCAACATCATAATTACATAAAACATATGAATACATTAACAATATAAGATTACAATGAACACAGTCACAGTAACAATGGGCGGCTACATGTGCAAGAAAATGGTTAAAAAACTGATTAAAAACATGGGTGAGATAAAAGAAGAAGCAGGTTATTTGCAGAGGGGGGCTCATTAAAATGAGGATTGTGGAATCAAGCTTTCCCATTTGGGGGGGGCGGGGCGTGTACTCCAATGACAAAAACGTTGAGGCTGAGCAATAGTATGAGGTTGTATACCTATTCACCAAAGGCTCAGTGGAAGAGCCAGGTTTTAAGGTTCTTTTTAAGGGTTTCTAGGGTAAGGGCTTTCCTAATCTCTCCAGGTAATGTCCTCTGCATGCCCAGCAGGCGGGCAATGGGACGTGCGGTTACAATGGCTGAATATAAAGTTATAATACAGCCTACAGCAGGTTCTAATTACAGTAGGCTCTCTGTATTCTCAGGTTCTCTATCCATGGATTCAACCATCCACAGCTTGAAAGTATTGAAACAGCAACCCTTTATTTTGTCATTTTATATAAGGGACACAATTTTGCTATACTAGTGTATATAATCTAAAGGTTTTGATATCCACAAGAGGTCCTATAACCAAACCCCAGCTCATACCAAAGGCCCACTGCAGCTACCACACAGATGTCCATGCTATACAATAACAGCTTACAGATTTGAGTCTTTCCAATGCTTTTTCCACCTTTGTATAAGCAATTGTTTATAAGTAAAACTGGAAGCAAACTCCTTAATAGCTCTCAGTGAAAATACTTTAGGACAATTTCAGTAGTGAAAAGTAAAATTCCAACCTGAAGTATTTTTCTAGTTCTACTACAGCCAATGCCAGAGTCTTCCCAGGGGTTTTCTGTATGATATTAGCTACAAAGGTCTGCAGAGTCTGAGTGGGTCCTTCCATGCAGACCTGGAGAGGGGGGGGGGGGAGACAAACGCCAGGAAATAAACACTATGTATCCACTGAGGCCAAAGCAAAACTATAGCAGGGGTCCCCAAACTAAGGCCCGCGGGCCGGACGCGGCCCTCCGAGGGCATTTATCCGGCCCGGGGTGTGTGGAGAAGGTTGAGAGGCGGGGTGCGAAGTGGTGTCAAAGCCGCTTCCCCCCCGCCTCCGGCTTCGCTTCTCCTGCCTCCGGTAAAAAGCCTGGCCTTATCCCAAAGGCTGGAGAACAGGGGAGGCTGGGGGCGAAGCGGCGGGCTGCACCTGGAAGGAGGCTGGCTGATGGGGGCCGGGCCAGGCATTTAAGGGCCCCGCTGTTGCGGCTGCTGCTGGTGCAGCCGCCGCATGCCGCAAGGACTTCTCTTTCTCCCTCGCCATGCTCGCGCTGCTCTTCCTCCTGCTGCTGCTGCTCCCCATGGCCTCGACGGCTGCTTGCCCGCTTCTTGTGCTGCTGCCGCCCGGGGCTCTGCTTGCAAGGCGTTGTCCTTGTGCGTGGAGGCCAAGGGCTGTCGCACACGCCGGGGGAGCCCTGCGGCGTCTACACTCTGGGATGCGCCCCGGATTGCGCTGCGTGCTGCGGTGGGGAGAGAGGACTCTGCTCCACGCCCTGCTCCGCAGACGGGGCCTCTGCTTAGAAGGAGCAGCAGCCAGGAGGAGCACCAGCAGCAAGACCCCCCCCCCCCACACGCAGATAGAGAATGGGGGGTTGCGTGTGTGCGTGCGGCGGCGGGGGGAGCAGAGGCCCCGTCTGCGGAGCAGGGCATGGAGCAGAGTCCTCTCTCCCCACCGCAGCACGCAGCGCAATCCGGGGCGCATCCCAGAGTGTAGACGCCGCAGGGCTCCCCCGGCGTGCGCGCCAGCCCGCACAGCCCTTGGCCTCCACGCACGAGGACAACGCCTTACAACCAGAGCCCCGGGCAGCAGCAAGAAGCAGGCAAGCAGCCGTCGAGGCCACGGGGAGGGGGAGCAGCAGAAAGAAGAGCATCGCGAGCATGGTGAGGGAGAAAGAGAAGTCCTTGCAGCGCCCACATGGGGGTTCTGTGTGGGAGGTTTGGCTCAATTCTATCATTGGTGGGGTTCAGGATTCTCTGATTGTAGGTGAACTATAAATCCCAGCAACTACAATTCCCAAATGTCAAGATCTATTTTCCCCAAACTCCACCAGTGTTCACATTTGGGCATATTGAGTATTTGTGCCAAGTTTGATCCAGATCCATCATTGTTTGAGTCCACAATGATCTCTGGATGTAGGTGAACTACAACTCCCAAACCAAAGGACACTGCCCACCAAACCCTTCCAGTATTTTCAGTTGGTCATGGGAGTTTTGTGTGCCAAGTTTTGTTCAATTCCATCGCTGGTGGGGTTCAGAATACTCTTTGTTTGTAGGTGAACTATAAATCCCAGCAACTACAACTCCCAAATGACAAAATCAATTTTTTGAGTGAAGAACATACATTGGATTGTTAGGTGTCTTGTGTCCAAAATTGGTGTCAATTCATCCAGTGGTTTTTGAGTTCTGTTATCCCACAAATGAACATTACATTTTTATTTATATAGAAGTGTTGGTTTGGGGGGGGGGGGGGGTGGGTTTTTTGCACTGCAAATAAGATATGTGTGGTGTGCATAGGAATTCATTCATGTTTTTTTCAAATTATAATGCGGCCCTCCAACAGTTTGAGAGACTGTGACCCGGCCCTCTGTTCAAAAAGTTTGGGGACCCCTGCTCTATAGTCTCTGACTATACAGCTCCAATGATCTTTTATCAATTATCTTTGTGCCATGTGTTTTGGTATATGTAGTTTGTAAGGATGTGTTCTGATATATGTATTTGTTGTATGTATTTTATATTGATGTGTTTTCATTGTGTTTTACCCTGCCTTGAACCATAAGGAGAGGCAGGTAATAAATTATCATCATCATTTTACATGTAGAGCTGAAGTTTCAGGTTTATTTATACATCACCTTCTCAGAATTAAACAACACATTCACAATATGTCGATCTTTCCACAATACAACAGGGTTTGGAGTCATGCTGCTTTCCAGAAATTGTTGGCCTGTAATTCCCAGTAGTCCAGTCTGCATAGTCGATGTTGAGGAATGCTGGGAGATATAGTCCAAGATCTCTGGAGGACTGTACAATTTGCGGAATGTTGGGAGATATAGTCCAAGATCTCTGGAGGACTGTACAATTTCCTTTCTGCTATACACTCACAACAGCTTCTGCTATACACTCACACAGAGAATGAACTGACCATGGGGCTTTACACTAAATACATAGCCCTCTTGCAAGTGCTCGATATTAGCATTCATGACGTTACCTGCTTATAGTTATGAGTCATAGTCAGAAACTCTTCCAGTGGCACCAGGACTAGAAGGTTGGGTTCTTCTGTCAGACTCTCTTCTTCAGCCTTTGGATACAGGAATGTGATTGCAAGACAGCAGGAAGAAGAAAAGAAATAATGATTATGGTAAAAAAAGATGAGGGATGTGTCCACTGCAATGAGCTCTCAGGCCATACATAAGGAAAAGAACATGATGTCTATCTATCAGGACAAGTCTATCTATCAGGACAAGTCCACTCTTTGATACTAACTTGCCCCTAACTACAAAGCTTGTCTATTTTTCTCTCTCCAGGAGATGAAACAGAAGTGTTTAAACCAGTGCCTACAGGGTGTTACACATCTGTCTCCTATTGATGTGATAATTTCATTTGGGACACAAAATGTCAGTAATGGGAACCATGCTAAAAGAGGTCTGTTGTCAGTTATCAGCTAAGTAAGTTGTGTAGTTAGTTCCTACAGATGGAATCCTTTGCCACAGCAGTGGGGAATGGATGGGTCTCCAGAAGCTGTTGGACTGCAACTCCCATCAATCCTAGACAGAACAGTAATTTGTAAAAGATCATTAAAGCTGTAGTTTGGTAACACTTGGGAGGCCACACATTTCCTATTTTTGATAGTTGGAAAATAGTTTACAAATCTGATAAGAGATCTCAGTCTTCTTCAAAGGCAAAACTATATATTGTCGAAGGCTTTCATGGCCGGAATCACTGGGTTGTTGTAGGTTTTTTCAGGCTATATGGCCATGTTCTAGAGGCATTCTCTCCTGACGTTTTGCCTGCATCTATGGCAAGCATCCTCAGAGGTATATGGAGGTAGTATGGCAAGCATCCTCACTACCTCTGAGGATGCTTGCCATAGATGCAGGTGAAACATCAGGAGATAATGCCTCTAGAACATGGCTATATAGCCTGAAAAAACCTACTACAACCCAAAACTATATACTTCGTGAGATTCTAGTGAATGGGATTGAAAGGCAGATAAGAGGAGCCTGCAGGATGCAGTTTTATGCATGCAATAAAGACCCAAAGAGAGAGGTGGGTAGGGGAGAGGGGAGGTAGGGGAGAGGAATCTGGTATATGCTATTTAGAACAACAGAACAAGCTCACTAGTAGCCTGCCACTCTACTATCAGTGCTGGAAACAGAGAGCGAGAAGAAAGTTTTCCAGGAAATGTGCTCCCATACCTGAGCCAGCCTGGTCTTTCTTCTCCAGGTGAGACTGCAGGGAATGCTTTGGCTCTCAATCATGCAGGTGCACTCCATGGCCTGTAGAGTGGTCAGCACCTGCCCGCCCCCTTCAACCTGCAACAGACCTAAGACAGGGAGAACAGTCAAGGGATGGGAGGGTGGGATTTAACTCCTACCAATGCCGTGAGTGAAAGAGGACCATACCTGGATCTACAACAACTTGAATGTGCTTCAGGCACTGTTCTGGTCTCTGGGCTTTCCAGAGGTCGGCCAAGGCCTTCTTCTTCTCCCGCTCCTGCTCCTGCAGTGCCTTCTGAGCTGCTCGCTCCTTTCTCTTCTGCAAAGCAGCCTGGTGGGCTTGGTCAAGTGCCTCCTGGCTACAAATTGTATTGGCCTGACAGGAGGAGGGTTACAGGCTTATTTCTGTCACCTCATGGCCAATATTTTGCATCGACGAGCTGGAACTACAACCTGGAAGCTGGAACAAAGGCTGTTTCTTAGGTTCTCGTAAAGCTGGTTCTGGATCGCTGTCTGATACCTCCCAAGTACCAGCAGCTCTCTTCTGGGTTTCTGCCCTCCTTGGAAGTGGATTCTCCCCTTCCTCATTGCTGGGACACAGCCTGTTGCCTCCAGCTGAGTCTCCGGTGCTCCGTTCTAGGATCCTAGTAAATGAACCTCCCGCTGTAGATAGTTTAGTGGCCAACAGCTTCCTCTTGAGCCTTTCAGCCAAGGGGATGATCTCCACCTCCTCTTCGCTCTCGCTGCTGATCTCTGCCATTACGTCCTGATGAGTGGCAGCCAAGGTGAGCTCTTGGGGACCACAGGGCCTTTTCAATGTGGGAGGAAGATCAGGTGAATCCTCAGAGTCTGAGCTAGAGAGTACAACCACCTCCTCATCGGCAGGAGGCTGGTTGGCAGTTTTGATGGTAGACGGCTGTTGGCTTAGGAATGGGAAAGATGGCAGTTCTTCACTGTCACTGTCACCCAGCTCCAGGAACATTGTGCTCACTCCCTATTCATCATGAGAGGCTACAGGAAAGGGGGCACATCGAAGGAAAGGAACCACAACGGTGTAATTCAATTATGTGGAAACTTTTCCACTCTCATTCCTGTTGTGGGCTACTTTCTCTTTTAGGGCAACTTTTCAGACCTTGGAATTTTACAGGACCTGCATGAAAACGAAGACAATCGTGATGCAAAGAGTGCTTTGGGTTCTGAAAAATGTTTTCATTGCCATGCTGTGTTTCCCGGGCTCGGACAGCTTGGAGACTATGGGATGGCATTTGCTGTCCCTTCTGTGTCATGGTGGTCTCTGGCCAGGATATAGGTCCTAGTGGTCAGCTGCCACCTGCAGTGATGTCAGCCGGGGCAACTGGGGAGGTGAAAGGGGAGAGGAGCAGTGGCTAGGGAGTGGGTGCCTGTGTGACCCATCCTGGGGCCGATTCAGCAAATGCCATGCTAGATTGAAACAGTTTGGAGTAAATCTGCCCTTGGCTCTGGAGGTAAAGGTAAAAGTTAAGTTTTCCACTGACATTAAGTCTAGTCATGTCTGATTCTGGCGGGTGGTGTTCACCTCCATTTCTAAGCTGAAGAGCCGGTGTTGTCCGCACCGACTGCATGGAGTGTCCTTACCTTCCTGTCGGAGTGGTACCTATTTATCTACTGTACTCACATTTGCATGTTTTCAAACTGCTAGGTTGGCAGAAGCTGGGGCTAACAGTGGGAGCTCACCTGCTCCCCAGATTCAAACTGCTGACCTTTTGATCAGCAAGTTCAGCAGCTCAGCGGTTAAACCCACTGCACCAACAGAGGGCTCTGGAGATCAGGTTTTAAATCATCCCTGCGCTATGGGAACCCACTTAATGACCTTGAGTTAGTTACACTCCTTCAACAGTCTCAGAAGGCGGCAAATCTTGCCAAGAAAACCCTGATGAGAGTCTCCATAATTCATAAATGACTCAAACAGCAGCCACAACAATACCCATATACCATAGATTTTCAGTTAACTCAAACAACCGGAACTCTCAAGCTACTGGCAAAAACTCAAAAAATAATATTTAAAAAAGAAAATAAAACCCATTTTATCAGAAATGTTACACCACGTTAGGTTTATTTGTCTTAATTTGCTTTTGATTATGGTAGTCCAATACTGATATTGTGTTAATAGAGTTAATGCTGTGGTATAGTATGGGGTATGTATTAGTTAGGTCTATTTTTCATTGTAGCTCTCAAGCAACCAGAAACGACACTTATCCGGCATCCACCAATCCCCATGGGTATGTGTATGTGTGTGTATACAGACCAGGCATGGGCAAACTTCAGCCCTCCAGGCGTTTTGGGACTTTAATTCCCATAATTCCTAACAGTCTACCAGCTATTAGGGATTGTGGGAGTTGGCAGTCCAAAACACCCAGAGGGCCCAAGATTGCCCATGCCTGGTATCAACTCTCAATGAAGTGGCATCCATGGTTGGTAGAGGCTGGCTAAATGTCATTTCTGGTTGTTTGATATCTATATTATCTGTTTGTATATATGCTATGCATATACATATATACACACATGTCTGTGTGCATATCAGAAATGGGCAAACTCTGGCCCTCCAGGTGTTTTGGGATTTTAACTCCTACAATTCCTAACAGCCAGTAGACGATTAGGAATTGTGGGAGTTAAAGTCCCAAAACACCTGGTGGGCTGAAGTTTGCCCATGCTTGATATCAACTCTCAATGAAGTGGCATCCATGGTTGGTAGATGTTGGCTAAGTGTCATTTCTGGTTGTTTCATATCTACATATATGCTAAATGTATATATGCTAAAATATATATGCATATATATACACACACACACGTGTGTGTGTGTATATCAGCATGGGCAAACTTCTGGTAGGCTGTTAGAAATTGTGGGAGTTGTAGTCCAAAACACCTGGAGGGCCGAAGTTTGCCCATGCCTGGTGTATACATATGACTATATATATATATGCACACACGCAAGAGTTTGCATGTGCATTTGTTTAAATGCATGCGAATATACAAACACACAAGAATTCGGAGTTTGCACTAGCCTTGGCCCGGCTTTTTAATTGCTCTGAATAGGCAGGATTATTTTTAATATGCATGTGTTATTGTGATAATTTTATGCTTATGTTGTTTTGTTAATTTTATGTTATGCTGTCTACTTTGTATGTTTCTGGGAGATAGAGCAATATATAAATAAAGTTTTATAATATTATTATATAATTGTGTGTCTTATGAGTGCACGCGTGTATATATGTATATGTATCTATCCATACTTTGTATACATCCATACAAACACACACATCAAAGGAAAAGAAGCCCAACTCACTCATCAGAGGCAGCAGGCTCTCGCCTTGCCTTGGTGCTTGCAGCAGCAAGAGACGTTTCCCGCCCCTCCGCGAGCCCTGATTGGTTCAAATCCACCGGCTATGAACACGCCCACAAACCCTGCGGATCCGGAAGCGCGTCAGACGGGGAAGAGGCGGCCTTTCCGAGGAGGAGGAGGAGGAGGAGGAGGAGGAGGGCAAGGCGGGATGGCGCTGCAGCTGCTGGCCCGGCTGTCCTTCTTGCCCTCGGGCCCAGCCGCCGGTGGGCAGTGTGAGTCAGGCGTGGGGGAAGGAACTCAACTGTTTTCAGCTTTCATTTTATTTTCCAACTAGCCATCCCCTGCCACGCGTTGCTGTGGCCCAGTCTGGTGATCTGGAAAATAAAGTAATGAGAAAGTGTTGGTTTCTAATATATGTAATTCCTTTATGCCTGCGAGTAAACAGTATTTCTTGTTGTTTCTTTGCCAGTGTTGATGTGGAGAGCGTCTGGTTTGCCTACTCTGGAACATGCTACATATCATAGTCCTTCTTTAAGGGTCTCTTTCAAATCTAGGATACTATATCTGTGTGTGTGAGAGAGAATCACATCTATCTATATGTATGACTGGATGGCTCTTTGCCAGGAGGGCTCTGATTACATTTTCTTGCCCTGGTGAAGAGAGTTGGACTGGATGGCCTTGAGTATTTTCTGTTGGTCATGGGGATTCTGAGTGGGAAGTTTGCCCAATTTCTGTCGTTTGTGGGTTTCAGAATGCTCTTTAATTGTAGTGAACTATAAATCCCAGTAACTACAAATCCCAAATGTCAAGGTCTATTCCCTCCAAACTCCATCTGTGTTCATATTTAGGCATATGGAATTTTTGTGTCAATTTGGTCCAGATCCATGTTTGAGTCCACAGTGCTCTCTGGATGTAGGTAACTACAACTCCCAAACTCAAAGTCAATGCTCACCAAACCCTTCCAGTGTTTTCTGTTGGTCATGGGAGTCCTGTATGCCATGTTTGGTTCAATTCCATCATTGGTGGAGTTCAGAATGCTCTTTGATTGTAGGTGAACTATAAATCCCAGCAACTACAACTCCCAAATGTCAAGGTCTATTTCCCTTAAACTCCATCTGTTTGGGCATATGGAATATTTGTGCCAAGTTTGGTCCAGATCCATCATTGTTTGAGTCCACAGTGCTCTCTGGATGTGGGTGAACTACAATTCCCAAACTCAAGGTCAATGTCCACCAAACCTTCCAGTTTTTTCTGTTGGTCATGGGAGCCCTGTGTGCTAAGTTTGGCCCAATTCCATCATTGGTGGAGTTCAGAATGCTCTTTGATTGTAGGTAAACTATAAATCCCAGCAATGACAATTCCCAAATGACAAAATCATTTTTTTTTACATGAGGACATACATTGGGTTGTTAGGTGTCTTGTGTCCAAATTTGGTGTCAATTCCCCCAGTGGTTTTTGAGTTCTGATGGTATCACAAATGAACATTACATTTTTATTTATATAGATGTTTACTGTTAATGGGGTTTCTTCTTCATTATACAGTTGTCAGTTGGGGACAGTTTTATGACTCTCTCTCTCTCTCTTTCTGACACAGTATGGGCCGTTTCCCCCCTGACTGCAATGGCAGTGAGGTTTGCATCCAAAAAGAGTGGAAGCAGCTCCAAAAACCGTGGTGGGAAAAGTCCTGGGAAACGCTATGGCTTCAAAAAAATGGATGGTAAGTCACTGGCTCCATTATCCAAGTGCTTCCCAGGATGTGGAGAATTGCATTCACCCACTGCAGGATTCTGGTTACACTGCATAGGCCTGCTAATTAAAGCCTGGGTCTGTATTCATCTTCTCTTTTAATTTAGGATATACCAGGGTTGGGCGAAAAGTAATGCCTCCATCTTCGTTACTTGGGTTTGGATGAGAATATTTTAATAAATCAAACGCAGAAATAATCCTTAGAATGTGCTCTTTAACTTCCACTATTCACTTTTCGACATAATCACCAGACAGTTGGATATATATCTGCCAACAATGAACAAAGTGCCTGAAGAAGAGAATGCTGAGGGGAAATATGATAGCCATGTATAAATATGTAAGAGGAAGTTATAGGGAGGAGGGAGCAAGCTTGTTTTCTGCTTCCCTGGAGACTAGGGCGTGGAACAATGGCTTCAAACTACAAGAAAGGAGATTCCACCTGAACATTAGGAAGAACTTCCTGACTGTGTGAGCTGTTCAGCAGTGGAACTCTCTGCCCAAGAGTGTGATGGAGGCTCCTTCTTTGGAGGCTTTTAAACAGAGGCTGGATGGCCATCTGTCAGGGTGCTTTGAATGCAATATTCCTGCTTCTTTGCAGGGGATTTTACTGGATGGCCCATGAGGTATCTTCCAACTCTATGATTCTATGATTCTAAGTTTTCTGAAGCTGTCAAAGAAGCCAGCACTCTGTTTCTGCAACCAGCATCTCACAGTTCTCTCAACGTCTTCATCAGAAGCATAATGATGTCCCCACAGATTTTCTTACATTATCGGGAACAGATGGAAATTTATTTATTTATTTATTTGCTTTACTTCTATACCGCCTTTCTCAGCCGAAATGGCGACTCAAGGCGGTTTACACAGTAAAGATCATCACAACAATATCAAAAAGACAATTAAAAGCACATTATATAAATTACACCAAAACAAACAATCATTATCATAGGCCTCAGCAAACAAATCAGAATCCGTAATCATAATCCTTTACCAAATCCTATGTTCAGTTGTACCATCTTCGTGTATTCATTGCACTATTTAGCCAAACGCTTGTTCGTAAAGCCAAGTCTTGACCTTCCTCCGGAATGCCAGCAATGAAGGGGCCTGTCTGATGTCCACAGGTAGGGTGTTCCACAGCCGAGGGGCCACCACCGAGAAGGCCCTGTCCCTCGTCCCCGCCAACCGCGCCTGCGATGTCGGCGGGACCGAGAGCAGGGCCTCCCCAGACGATCTTAATGTCCTAGTCGGTTCATAGGAGGAGATGCGTTCGGAAATCAGACGGTGCTAAATCTGGACTGTATGGAGGATGTCGTATGGTGGTGAGATCCAGTCTCTGAAGTTTCAAGTCTGTGTGCTTTCATTTCGAGGACTTGTTGGAGGCTACAGACAATGCCGTTGCTGTTGCCTGTTTTTGGTCAAAAGATATTTAGCCACCTGCACACCTTCTATTTTATCAGTTTTATACTAATTTATGCAATGCTTTTGATACGAAATAAATTTCAGGCGTCAGCATCTTGGGTACCCATCTTCCGATAGCCAAGCAAAGCAATAATGTGACCCACACATTCTTGTGAAATTCCGATTGTGCTTGAAATTTCTCTCTTGAGTGATACGACGTTTGTCCTGAATCAGTCTGTCAACCTTTTGCTTGTAAAACTCGGGGTTGCTGTCACAGGACGTCCAACTCTTTGTCACTTAAACTTTCTCGCCCAATGACGCACAGTACTCACATCAACACAATCACCATAAACAGCTTCTCTGATGAATCTCCTTTGGGGCGACACCTTCTGCTGTCAAGAATTCAATGACTGCGCATTGCTTAAGTCGCATTGACCGACCATCTGCACAGGGTTCCATACTTCGCACTTTTAACAACACAGCCATTCAATGCTAAGGCTTCCCACCAAAATGGAACTGTAGAGGAGAGTCAACTGAGCAAGCCAGTACCTGCCGCATACCAGTACTGCCATTTGTTGAGGAGTTACGAAGGTGGAGGCATTATTTTTCATTCAATCCCCATATGAACAAGACAGAGCCTGGATCAACAACTAAGTTAGGCCTGGGCAAACCTCGGCTCTCCAGGTGTTTTGGACTTCAACTCCCACAATTCCTAACAGCCGGTAGGTTGATTGGTTTCTGATGTTCCTTACTTTATGCTCCTTATTTGCAGGACAGTTTGTTCATGCGGGCAACATACTAGCAACACAGCGAGTGATTCGTTGGCACCCAGGGGCTCATGTAAGTTTTTTTTCCCTCTCCACTATGAAGATGTTTCCCAACAATCCACACTTAATCCTGTACTGCCTCCTTTATCAAAGCTTTTGTTGTAAATTAGCAGTGTTGCATTACCAAGGTTCTCTTACGTGCCGAGTTCCAATTAACCTCCTTATGGTTTATTCTTTCAAGATTCTTTCTCTTGCCCCAGGGGAAGGGTAACCTCCCTTTGCCTTGCCCTAAAGTTGGTTGGGAACTAGTTATATTAACCAGAAAAGAATTGAAACTGGTTCCCTAAGGAGCCTTTTGTTAGTATGAGTTTGGACCCATCGGCCTGAATAGGAGTGGGAAATACTGGGAACAGTATAGTCTCAGATCTTGGCCTGGATAGGAACCTGATAATAGTTGCTTTTAAGCAGGTCAGCAAGAGAATGATTGTATTTCATAGAATAAAGGACAAATTCCTGATGTGAGGTGATTCAGGGAGAAAGGGATGTTCTGTTTGCTGTTATTCCAAAGCACAACTTGCAAGTATTTTTACAATTAAAGGAAAGAAAGAAAAAATAAGTGTGCCTGATCGTTTAAATCTATATTGGGCCTGATGTATCCAACCTTCTTGACTTCTTCCAAAATAGATGAGGCTCAAATGAATTCAGTTCACCAAAGATGTGATCATAGAATCACAGAGTTGGAAGAGACCTCAGGGGCGATCCAGTCCAACCCCATTCTGCCAAGAAGCAGGAAAATTGCATTCAAAGGAGTCCCAACAGATGGCCATCCAGTCTTTGTTTAAAAGCCTCCAAAGAAGGAGCCTCCACCACACTCTGGGGCAGAGAGTTCCACTGCTGAACATCTCTGAGAGTCAGGAAGTTCTTCCTAATGTTCAGGTGGAATCTCCTTTCCTGTAGTTTGAAGCCATTATTCCACGTTGTAGTCTCCAGGGCAGCAGAAAACAAGCTTGCTCTCTCCTCCCTGTGACTTCCTCTCACAGATTTATATATGGCCCTCATCATGTCTCCTCTCAGCCTTCTCTTCTTCAGGCTAAATGCCCAGCTTTTTAAGCCACTCGTCATAGGACTTGTTTTTCAGACTCCTGATCATTTTAGTCACCCTCCTCTGGACACATTTCGGTTTGTCAACATCTTCCTTAAATTGCAGTGCCCAGAACTGGACACAGTGTGATTCCAGGTGTGGTCTGACCAAGGCAGAATAGAGTGGTTAAATCAGTTAATGTATAGATGTTTTGGACAAGGGATTAGATTTGGCCATCCACATACAATGTGCATTACAATAAGGTCCTCGGGTCGCCCAAACATAACCTTGAAGCCAACCACTTGGACCTGTGCAAAATAATGGCTGGGGATAAATACAAGCAGAAGGTGAATGAGGGTAGTGCTTGAATCCATCCTGTGAACCACACACACTTGGATGACCTACATATGCATGTACTGTACAGTCAGATGAAAAATTAGCACAGGAGTCCAACAGCCTAAATTGAGAAGGGGAAGGGAGAGTCTTGTTTTTACTGCTGTCAGGCTGTGGAATCCAGAAACCTTTGCTGCAGATCATAAACAATATGTTTTCTTCCTGCCCCTGTGCAGTGCAATTGAAGAGAGATGTCTGTCTTCAATACTACACAAGGGCAGGAGAAGGTGAGAGATTCCCTGACAAGAAAAGAACATAGGAGTGGGCAAGAAACACTAGTATTTACACTTTCATGGTAACATGGCCTCCTGTGATGATGAAGGGCTACCAATGAGTGCATTTAATTCCAAGCACCTCATGGATATGAAGCCAGGTACAATCTAAGGCAGTGGCACACAACCTGTGGCTCTCCATTCAATGCCGTTTTTTGGATGGGACAAAGAACAGAAAGGAGATGTATTTATATTATGTTGTGTTGACATCCAGTTGAACATCCAGTTTGTCAGTGTCTGTGGGAGTTGCCAGCCACAGGGGGGTGCTGTCACTCCATCCTCTATGACAAAGATCTATTAGAACTTCCTCCTGCCTTTAGGTCACCTGCATTCTTTGATCATTTTCTTTATGGAGTCGTAAAATACCACCTCAGCATTAGCGGTACCTAATTTCTGTAATTACAGCTATAAGCTATTTTCGAACTGCTTAAGTAAAGTGAGCAGGGCTGACAGTTGGATGCTTACGCAGACCTGGGACTTCAAACTTGCAAACTTTTGGTTGGTAGATCTTATCATTGCTGGTGATTTACCAGCTATGCTAATGCCCTGGCCAAGGTGCTGATATTAGTCATTTGGACATGATCCATGTAAGCTGCTCTAGATGTTAAGTTTCCCCCTTTGTAACAACTTCCCCTTTTCACCATCAGGTGGGGATGGGCCGCAACAAGTGGCTGTATGCACTTGAAGATGGGATTGTGCGATACACCAAGGAAGTTTATGTGCCACGCCCCCGTCACGAGGAAAGCAAAGACGTCATCTGCCAGTTGCCCAGAGGAGCAGTGCTTTATAAAACGTTCATCAATGTAGTCCCCACGGTTGAGGTGGGGAGCTTTAAGTTGGTCAACATGCTGTAAGACTGCCTAGAAGATACCAGCCAAGAACTTGCTTAGGGGGATCTGACCCCCAGCAACCATCAGTTCTGTCCATCCGAGTGACTTGGTTCAGTTACTTACTGTTCCCTGAGCCATAGCTGAGGAAGACTGGGCATCTTTACCATACTGTCAAGAGCAATTTCTGTATTGTAAAGGATGTATATTTATATATCTGACTAACTCAATGAAATAAATGCTGTTTTCTAAAATACAAGGGCAGTGCTACCATAATTAATTGGCAGGTTATGGTTTGAAGCTTTCTCTATCAATATATTTGTAGAATAGGTACTGGAGGCTACTGCCATAATGTGAACCGTGGAAGGGATAGGTTTGGGGCAGAGCTTGGCTAAGTAACGTTTTTGAACAACAGCTGCCAGAATCCTTCAGCCAGCATGGTCACTGCTTTGGAGTTTCACCTTTAAAAGGGACTTATCAGAGCCGTTGTGCTTCTCAGCAACAGTTTTCAACTGCAGCCTGCTTCTCTGCAGGCATCCAAAATGACTTTTGATCTCCATACAGATAGGTCTGGGTGGGGAATGCCTGAGTTCTTTGCATATCTCAGTGTATAGGAGCCACAGTGGCACAATGGGTTAAACCCATGTGCTGGCTGAACTGCTGACCTGAAGGTCAGCAGTCCAAATCCGCAAGACGGGGTGAGTGCCCATCTGGCAGCCCCAGCTTCCTATGCAGGGACATGAGAGAAGCCTTTCACAGGATGGTAACACATCCGAACGTCCCCTGGGCAGTGTCTCTGTAGATGGCTGATTCTCTCACACCAGAAGCGACTGGCAGTATGTTTTCAATGGGCTAAGTAAACTTAACAGTAGGTACAGAAGAAGTCTTAGCAGAAAGCCCTCCATCAATTTATTGTCTTGCCAGAAACTTTGTGGGTACATATCACAATGGCATACAAAGTGGAAGACAACTATCTAGCACTTTTCAGTAAAAGTGGACTTTTTTTTGCATTTTGGGGTCTCTGGAACTGGCATGGGCAACTTTCACAATCCCTTACTGTTACATAGCATAAATAAAAATGCAGTTCTCCAATACCTGGAGGATAATGCATTCTTTACCTGTATTCCAGAGAGTGGCTGGAGTTTACTGTACTTTAACAGTTCCATCAGAAACTCAAATGAAATAAACCACACAGGATGACCTAAATAGCTTGTTTCAACTGTAATCTTGCTATGGCTTTCACATGTTCACACATGATATGAGAACTCTTGTCAAACTCTGGCTGTTATCTCAGTGCTATTATTCTGAACATTAAATGATGGCCAGTCTTCTAAACAGTACAGAAATTCAATACTTCCGGGTATAATGCTGCCCTCTAGTGTTTGCTAGTGTTATTGCATTTTGATAGCATTCCAAGGCACCAGATTCCAATTGATCTTAGAAATTAAGCAGGATCAGCCCTGGACAGTAACTGAATGGGAGAATGCCAACAAGGGTCAGATGGTGTAGGCTATACTTCACAGCAAAGAACTGGAAAAACTACAGGGTATTTCAAAATGATGGACCCGATTTCAAAGCAGTGTATTTCACTGGCAACATTGTACAAATACACAAAAAGGTACAAACATTTTAATGAATTATAAAGTTATCACATTTTAGCCCAAAACAAATCTGAACAATAACCCCGCAAATGGAGAATATCTCATTGGGCCTTAGGCCTTGCGAATGATGACAGGCCAAGAGCTGGCTGTGTCTTGGGAGAGGCATTTGGTGGGAACCCTTTGAAATTCAGTCTGTTCCCAACCTTCTCAAGTGCTAACAGTTTCATTCATGGATGGTTCATGGTTGCAGAAATATAACAACTTCTAATTGAGTCCATCTTTTTGAAATATTCAGCATTTCTAAGTATTTATTGCCTGTGAGGTTCATGGGGTTGCTGTAACATGTGTCAAACTGAAGGCCTGCAGGCTGAATGCATCCTGCCATCTCATTTTATGTGGCCCTCCAGATGCTGGACTACAACCCCTATATTCCTCATTATTAGATATTGATTAGTCCTGATAGGAGTTGTAATGCAAAGACATCTGGAAAGCTGCAGTGTGTTCTGTTTAGTCAGAACTGAATTTAGGTATAAGGCTTGTGGATATGATGTCTGTCATTGTCCTTTAACCCTTCCCCAGCCTCAGAGCCTTAAATGCATTTGGGTTGCAATTCCCATTAGCCCTGGTCTGAATGGCAGATAATAAAAAAGGATAGGAGTTGCCCTACAATAACATCTCAGCACCCAAACAGTGTACAAACTAAAGAGCACCAATCACTATGTAAAAATGATGTTTGGCTTTCTATCTTCCATCCAGGGATTCAGTGGCCCATTGAAGGCAACCATAAGGCTGATGTGGCCCTAAATGAAAATGCATTTGACACCCCTGCTGTAAGTCAACAGGTGACTTGAAGGCATACACACATAGACCACTGAGAATACCCACCAAAGATCAATTTTTCTGATGATAATCAGGACATGTAAGAGTGAGTTCGTACACAATAAAACATTCAAAAATGCAGGAAGATTGATTTTCATGCAGTTTTTGATAAAGAGCTATGGCTAAACCCAACTATTGCATTGAGAATACTAAATTGTTCCAGCCAATGGTAATTTTTTCTTTATGGCAGAGGTGCGTACCTCAGTTTTTGTATCACAACTCTCACAATCCCTTACAATTGGTCATGCAGGATTGAGGTGATGGGAGTTGTAGGCAAACACAGACTGACTCTCAGCCATATAACAAATTAGAGACAAGCCTCAGGCATATGCACTCTCTGACTACAGCTATTCCTTAATCACTGTTATTTACAGCAAAGCAGTTGGTTGCTATTGCCGTAAAACCATGGTTAAAACTTGTCCTTCAGAGCAGGAGCTGAAGCTGCAATATTTTGCTCATCAAAAGAAAGCCATTCTTTTACAGTGGCATCACATAGTTCAGGAGAGGGAAGGGAGCCTTAGAATCATAATTGGAAGAGACCTCATGGGCCATCTAGTCCAACCCCGTTCTGCCAAAAAGCCGGAAAATTACATTCAAGGCACCGCCAACAGATGGCCATTCAGCTTCTACTTAAAAGCCTCCAAATAAGGAGCCTCCACCACACTCTGGGGCAGAGAGTTCCACTGCTGAACAGCTCTCACAGTCAGGAAGTTCTTCCTAATGTTCAGGTGGAATCTCCTTTCTTGTAGTTTGAAGCCATTGTTCCGCGTCCTGGTCTCCAGAGCAGCAGAAAACAAGCTTGCTCCCTCCTCTATGATTTACCCTCACATACTAATACAAGCCCAAATCATGTCTCCTCTCAGCCTTCTCTTCTGCAGGCTAAACATGCCCAGCTCTTTAAGCCGCTCCTGATAGGGCTTGTTCTCCAGATCCTAGATCATTTTAGTCACCCTCTTCTGGACACATTCCAGCTTGTCAACATCTCCCTTCAATTGCAGTGTCCAGAATTGGATACAGTATTCCAGGTGTGGTCTTATCAAGGCAGAATAGAGGGGTAGCATGACTTCCCTGGATCTAGACACTAAACTCCTATTGATACAGGCCAAGATTCCATTGGCTTTTAAAGCCACCGCATGAAATTGTTGGCTCATGTTTAACTTGTTGTCCACGAGGACTCCAAGATCTTTTTCACACATACTCTCGAGCCAGGCGTCCCCCAATCTGTATCTTTGTAGCTCATCTGCTGAGATAACGTCCCCATACTGCCTTCCCTTCTCTTTAACCTCTGTAATGCGACACCTCCACTAGTCACAAAAGGGTGGAGCCCAGATGCAACTTCATGGATCTGTTCCTGAGCTTTACCAAATCCACAGAAAGGCATAAACAAATCCAATACAAAAAATGTTTTGGTAACTTAACAATGGCAGTTATTTCCTGATCAGATTACTCTATGTTTTAAATGATGGCATTAGGAACATTTCCAAAGCTTATTCGCCAAACAAAAATAAAAACCCAAATAAAAATCAGATTAAAGCCGAATAAGATTGTCCTAGCTCCAAGTGACAAACAATCAAGGAGAGTAACGAACAATAGGAATGAAGAAAAATAGCTCTTGAAACCTTACTCCCCTCCGGGGGGAAATTCCAAGTCTCTGCACACCACCCTTTTTCTGATATGGCTTGGCCCTAAACTTCAGATAGTGTGGATTCTCGAGATCAGAGAAAGTTGCTGCAGAAGCTCCAGATTCTGTCCTCTGTTGATCCATTCATCTTGTTTGGCCTCACAAAACCGCCCAGCAGTTGAAAGAAGATGAAAAAGAAGAATCCCACCCTAATGTCTCCAATACCTCATTCTGTCACTTGAAGCACCCATTCCTGTCGTGTTGATTGCTGTCAAGAAGACCAACAATTCAGTAGAACATTCTCTCTGTAAGGGTTAATACTCTGAAAGTCTGGGAAATGCTCTCACACACACAAACAGAAGAACTCTTTGGCCAGAAAGTTTGAGTTTCTCTCAAGTAACAAGATGGAGCATCTCAGTAGCTTTTTTCAATGTTTGACCCAGGTACCCAAAGGCAATTCCTGCAATGGTTCCATATGTCTTATAAGTTCCTATGGCAAAAATATTCCCCTGAGTTCAATGATTCCAGCCCTCTTTGCTGCACTATGGGATTCAGTGTATCTCTAGACCTTCCTGGCACAGATTCCTCCAGTCTTGGATACTATCAAAAGTAAAAATAATAAAGAATTTTTTCCCAGGTCATGGTTTCAACTGTCCAGTTGTCCTCAGGTTCATGTCCAAACAGAACAGGAGAGCCTCAAGTGTTAGTTCTTGGTGATGGGGAAACAGTAAAAGGGAAATGTGGCAGCTGTAGAGGGAGTTTGGACGAGAGGGAAAAAAGGAGTGGCAGGTGGCACTATAGAAATTGTGTCCCAAATTGCCACATCTGTTGAGGGGAACCAATGTCACACCTATACTGATGTGTTTCTTTGCATTGTGTATGTGGGTGAAGCTTGAAGCATATCTGGCAAGCTGTGTCCAGCTGACAGCTCTGAACCCACGTCTGTTCCTGATAAGGCTGAAGGATACTGCAGGGCCTGCTCATAGGGAGGTGGTAACTGTAAGAAAAAGAAGAAAGAGCCCATTATGCCTCCAAATACAGCACAGAAACTTCCACTCTGCCTTGCCTTATCTAAATATTAGCTTTAGCATCAAATCAGTACCATGCTACTTTATCCTACTAGCCTTCACCAGATGTCAACTTGGTTACATTGGGATCAGGAGGTCTATGGACTCAAGGTTGAATGTATGTACAGTCTTACACAAATGTGTTGCCCAACACCTCCAAGTTACACGGGCCCAGAATCTGTGATCATTGGTCAATGCACATGAGCCTGCTGGAAGTGCAAAACACCAAGAGGACTAGACTTTGGAAATCCCCGTTGCATACTTTTTCATTCCTCTTCAATTTAATTTTTAATTATTTTATTGCACAGAAATTTTGTGTAATTTTGCTACTTTGTTCTGGGTTTTTTGGTTTTACCATTTTTAATGACATTTTATTATACAATGTCTCTCACACACAATCAGAACAGTGTACTTTTTTATACATCAAATAAGCAGTATATTGGGAAAGCCTAGTAGTCTAGTCAACAACAGAATATGCTACTGATGAACATCTGTACTGCTGTTGAACTACCATCAGACAATTTCCCTGAACTAAGATGCCTGATTGCCCAGGAGAAAAATATTTCTGGTATGTTATTCGCAGTGGTATTAAAGAAGGAAGCTTTGACAGTTGTCACACAGAGATGAGAAGTATATGTGCCAAGAACCCTATCTTCTACACCACCATTAACAAGGGGGAGTCCTGTTCTCTTGCCACCTGGTTGCCTTACTACTGAGATGGAATCCAACATGCCATTGACAATGTTCACCTGTACAACTAAAAGTAATAGACCTGGAAAGAATGTGAACTAAGATTATAGAATGCGTGAGTAAAATATCCTCCACACTGGGACTACAAATCACATCAGCACCAGCCAAGTACGAGAAAAGATGGTAGCTATAGCCCAACACCTGAAGTACAACGATCCTGCATTCCTATTCCCTGGACTAAAGGTAACTGCAGGACAGAAGTAAATTCAATAGGCAGTTGTAGACAAGAGAACATTTACAAACAAGGAATCAACATTAGCTGCAGGCCTTGTCTGTTTTGTTGTTCATTAGGTTTATAGCAGATTAGCATTTGGACAAGGAGCATAGATATGTTCTTTCCCTCTTCATCCCCTCAAGTGCAGGCTTTGGGGGGATAACCACTTCCAGAATCCCCAGCTAGTATGATCACTGAAAACTCCTTCGAAGTATAGTGTGTTGTTATTTGCCACCACGTAAACTTCGACTTATGATTGAGATACTTTCATGAGATCTGGTCATCAACAGCACCACTTAGGTCTTGTAAGCTCAGGGCTATGGTTCCCTGGGTAGAATCAATCCATCTATAAATATCTCATTACATTACTTTCCCTGCTGCCTTCTGTTTTATCAAGCATCATTGTTTTTTCCAGTGAAGTTGCAGATGCCATTCTGTACATACACACACACACACACACACACACATACACACATAATTTCTAAGGTCTGCCACCCAAAGCTGTTGCCATCTGTGTCTGTCCCTCTCTCTGCTCTGGGCTATGCAATGATATTCAATCCACCATGGACCAATTCCTATCTGATGAAAGAGCCTATTGTGCTGTACCCTGTTCTACCTGAGGGTCTTAGAGGTTGTCTTTCCTGGCAAATGACGAGATCACAATCATTCTTATATGACTGCCAGCCCATCAGGCTTCTCTCAGAGCCAGAGCCCAAGACAAATAAATCCCAGAATTGGGCAGACAATATGCTTGGTAGGGTGGGATGAAGGCTGTATGAGGAGGAGTTAGGACTATCTGCTGAAGAGCAGAAGCATGAGGGCAGAGTGCAAACACCTGAAGCTAGAAACTCCCAAGTTAAAACATTATTTTCAACACGTACTCCTGGCTTATCTACTTTGGGTTTCCCCTTATCTAAACCAGGGGCTATTCTTAGGATCAGCTATCTGCAGAAAGCACTCTAAGCACATAACATAAATTGTAAGTGGTGCTAAGGGTGCTGATTGCTGCAGTTATTCATTCATATACAAGGTGTAAGGCTCAAGGTCATTGGAAAAACCAGGAGCAGAACTTGAATCTGTCAAAACTCTCCACCTCTGCGTAGGCTGGATCTACGCTGCCCTATATCCTAAGATCTGATCCCAGATTATCTGCTTATCCCAGATTATCTGGTAATGTAGACTCACATAACCCAATTCAAAGCAGATACTGGGATCAAATCCTGGGGTATAGGACAGTGTAGAATTTATTTATTCATTTATGACATTTATATGCCGCCCTTCTCACCCTGAAGGGGGCTCAGAGCGGCTTACAAGAAATAAATGCGCGCCATTCAGTTGGTTGAAGACATTGTGGAGCGCTAGTGGTCTCGTTTGAGAGGCGGGAGTATAAAGTTTTGTCCTGACACAGTTCAGTCGCCATCATGCGTTGGAACAGTGAGGAGAATGCTTTTGCCTTTGAGGCCTACTTTTCGAGCGGATCTGGAGTGGCCGGCCCGCTCTCCAGATTTGGTCCCTTGTGATTTTTTTCTATGGGGTTTTTTGAAATCCCGTGTATATGTGAACTGTCCAAGGACCCTACAAGATTTGAAGACCAACATCCAGGAAGAACTTGCCAACATAACGCCTGGTATGCTGGCAAGAGTCATGACAAACGCCAGAAATCGGTTTACTCAGTGTATGGAGAATGGGGGATGTCACCTACCTAATTTGATATTCAAAACTACATAAAACAAAACTTTAGGTATGCGCCTACATTATAATTTTTTTTTAAAAAAAATTCTRATTCATACAATGGGTTTTATTAAGTTTTGAAAAAAGGAAGTTATGCTGCCTCACCCTATACAATATATTATATTACATTATATTATATTATTAGAATAGCACAGGAGACATGGTGGAACTGTCCCCTGGCCCCCTCTCTCTTCACTCTGGCCCAGAGCGGCAGAGCCTTAGTGTCCCAAACAGATTTACAGGTAACTGAATGGGAGTAAGTCTCCACTTGGTAAAAGCAGGCAATGCTGGACTCATGGATTGAATTAACAGAAGGCAGCTTCATCTGTTCAAAGTGAGTCAGTGTGGCTTGCTTTCGGCAAAGCATGCTTTGGCTTGGAGCCTTAGTGTTTCGGAGACCTGGCAACAAATAAGAGCAGAACAGGGAAGGGGAAGACTGAAATCCCTATAGTTATCCATATACAGTTACCTTGTATTAATCCTGGCAAGATGAAGGACTACCAAGGAAACAAAGATTTGAAATGTCCTGATGCCTCATGTGCAAATAAAAGAGATCTGAGAGCAGTGACAGAAAAAACCTTCCTGTGCAACAAAGGAGCCCAATTCTATGGCAATTAATTCTACATGATCAGCTGATGTAGCGTTAGATTTGGCACACACTAGGCACAGCAAGGTGTGTATGTAAAACATTGACACAGGCAAGCATTTGTCTTATGGCTGCCCTCTTGTCTGTTTGGTCTTCTCCCAGAAGACAGAAATGCTGCTTCTTAAAAGATACAGGATGAATCATTAACTTGAAGGATTGTAAACAAGTGACTTAGAATTGGAGTCTCTTGGAACACTGTGTTCCTTCCTCCAAGATAGAAAAAGCCACTGAAAAGATACAACAGAGTCCTGTGATTTCACAGTAGAGTATTAAAACAAGCTCAGCAGATAAAGCCCCAACAGGAGAGCTGTACCCCTTGATAATGGCAGGATGAATTTCCTCATAACCACTCACAAAGAGGCTTTCTGTAGGTTGTTTACCTCTTGGGAGACTTCAGCCCACAAGCCAAACCTTTCGGCAATCATGTGGTGAATCTCCCGTTGCCGATCCTTCTTTCGCACACTCTCATAGCTTGGTAGACGCGGTTGCTCCCATGGAGGAAGCTGGTAGCTGCTGGGGGGTCCGACACAGAACAGCTCGTCACTCTAGAAATGTAAGGAAATTAAACAGAAATCATCACTTTGCTTAGCTGACTGGACTTTTAAGGAGCCATATGATTTGCTGGCATTAAGAACAGCCTCTACAGCACGGGTTCCCAATCTTTTTTTGACCAGGGACCACTCTCCGACATGTGTACCAAAAGGGCTTGTTGCTCATTCGTTCAGTCGTCTCCGACTCTTCGTGACCTCATGGACCAGCCCACGCCAGAGCTCCCTGTCGGCCGTCACCACCCCCAGCTCCTTCAAGGTCATTCCAGTCACCATACCAAAAGGGCTACAAATCAGTTTTTGGTCAAATTTAGATTTGGTTATTTGTGGTGCTGATTCAGAAAATTGCATTGCATAGATCACATCAGCTTAAGTTTCTGATATAGAACATATGCCATCCAGTAGTTGCCATATTTAATAATCTAGAGCTGATGTGGTAGTAGTAATCTTTTGTGGGTAGTCAGCTTCTCCACTCCTGACATTGCTGTTGCCTTGGCACTATAAGAGAGTTTTGTGAGACCGTTCACTCTCGTTGTCGCATGGTTTTGGGGCAACAGTGTAGTAATGGTGAGGCCATGGACCATATTTTCATTCTTGCGGACCACTGGTAGTCTATCGACCACAGGTTGGGAACCACTGTTTTATAGGTATGTGCCCATCCTGGACAGATTATGTGTATAGAATCCGCACAGATGCAGATCTACATAGTTTCACTTGTACCGTTGTAAACAACAGAATAAATCCTATTCGTTCCTACTAGAGTAGACCCATTAAATGGATCTACTCTAGTGAGGAAACTGCAACAGAATCAAGAAGGAAATCTCCAGATTTTAGCCCCTCAATAAGCATAAATTAGTTGTTTGGTTTAAGACAAAATTGTTGTTGTTGTTGTTCATTTGTTCAGTAATTTCCGACTCTTTGTGACCTCATGGACCAGCCCACGCCAGAGCTCCCTGTCGGCTGTCACTACCCCCAGCTCCTTCAAGGTCAATCCAGTCACTTCAAGGATGCCATCCATACATCTTGCCCTTGGTCGGCCCCCTCTTCCTTTTTAACACAAAATATTTAGAATACTTGTCACTTCTATGCAGCATCAGTGGTTGCTGGAAACAGTTTCATGGGTACATTGCATAGGGCCCCAGTGGCAGAAAGCAATGGCTTTATCTGAACATCTTTTTTGGTTTTAACACAAAATACTTAGAACCAAAAAAGATGTTCAGATAAAGCCATTGCTTTCTGCCACTGGGGCCCTATGCAATGTACCCAGGAAACTGTTTCCAGCAACCACTGATGCTGCATAGAAGTGACAAGTTTCATTTTGGAAGGTTAACCCTTCAATGGAGACTAATTTTTTCTTCCACTGAAATTTTCATTGGGGTCAGGAAAAACAAGAAGCATTGATTTGAATTGTCAACACAAGCTTAATCCCAAAACATCAGGATTTTCATTAGAATCACATAATGCTCCACCACTCAGATAATGTTATTTTTTAAAATTATAGTACCGAAGAGTTAAAGCCCTTGCATTTGAACAGTATAACTTGAGTTCAGGGTGATGTTATTCCACCTCCCTCTTCTTTTCAGGTCCTGAGCAAATAAGCCAAAACCAGTTCACAAAATCAGCCAAAGGTTCTAGCTGAGCCATCAAGATCGCCTAGAGTGGTCTGACAGTTCCACTGCAAAAGACTGCAATACAGTCAACACAAAGACTAGCCTTTCAGGCTCATCCACAGCTTACACAAGGAATGCTGAGATTTCCTCTGAGCAAGGCCTCAAGGTGCATGCATCATACTGGGCCTTCTTAAGTTTTATGCAAACCCAAACTAGACTGACCAGCAAACACACATGTTGAGAGCTAGTCTATGAGATCATTGACAAGCACCCCTGTTTGTCTCATCTGTGTGCAATAAACATATTTGCCTGACTCATGCTCTTCACTTTAGGAATATGACATTTTAACTGTCTACCTGTGAAAAGATTGTGTACAAAGTGGCTTTTAAAAAAAAGCTCACTTCTTTCACAGGGCACGCTATTTTGAATATTGTACAGTATGAGTGTCAAAATGCATTATTTGCATAAGCCCACAGGAACAGGCTGCAAAATGCGACATCTGTGATGCCTCCTCCTCTCCCCATGATAATGAGGATAACAGAGATGCTTTGTTGAGGAGATACATTCAGGCAATACAGTTCAGGAAAAGATACACCCCACTGTTCAGTGGAGATCGGCTGCCAAGTCTTGTGGTTCAGCTGCATGTGTAGATGGGTTGTCAACTGAAACCACTAATAATTAGCCAATAATTAGCAGCAGTAAAACCTATAATTAGCAACAATAAAAATAAATGATCAAGCAGGAGTATAAACATTATCCTGATGTTTGCTGCAATGTTAGCAAATTAAGGCGCAAGTTCTGTGACTCGAATGAGAACCTTAATTCCATTGTTTATACCTCCTGCAACTCTAAACGAAGGGACAATACACCTTTTTCGTACTGAAGAAGGCACCATCCATAAGGCAGCACCACTTCCTTACTCCAGTGACTAGATTGCTGTGGGAGCATAAAGCTGTTGCTGATGCTTGAGCCAGCTTTTACAATTATTCTAGTATAGAAAGTGGGCATCTTGTGCCTCTCTGGAAGTTGTTGGCTGCAATTCATCTCAAGTCCAGCCAGAATAGTGAACGGTGAAGGATGATAGATGTTGGGAATGAGAAAACATTTGGAGAACCATATACTGCCCACTTTTGTATTATACAATGGGTCCAGTGCCTTTTAAAAAGAAAATCTCTTCTTATGGCACAGATAGCAAAGTAAGCCTATGCGCAGTTCCCAGGGGTTCCAATATGGCCACTATCCCCATTTACACATACCCCATTTCAAAACTAGTAAACCATTTTGGAAGTCTCTATCTAATCTGCTCTGTTTAAAAAAAAAAAAAAAACTTCATCTGATCTCCTTACTGCACTGAAGATACCAGACTGACCATTTCCAGTTGTGGGCTTTGCAGATTCAAGGTAAGCCATTATGCTTGTCACACATTCTCTGTTTAACGTCCCTCCAGAACAGGTTGTACCATGAAGCAAAAGCACAGCAGATGTGAGGTGCCATAAAAGGGCACCAAATTGTTAGTGATTTAAGTTGCAATTATTGTGTTTTGACTGCCAGAGAAACTAACAGATGCCTGCAGAATATTCTGTCCCTTGTGTCAAAGTAATTTCAGTTTAATTATGATGTGCTTTGACGGAGGTGAGTATGGGGTGGAAACATCATTTGCTGTTCCATCTCAAGCAGCACAGCATCTGAGACCAAGCCAACTGACTCCACAGACATGTGGAGAGAGTAAAAAAGCAAGGTCCTATGCAGGAGGATGTGATGATGATGTTGCTGTTATTGCTATAGTCCCACTTTCCCTCCAAATTGGGGCTTCTGGCAGCTCACAATTTGAAAGAACAATGTAATTAAAGCACATAAAAGGTTAACATTAAATAGAATTATGCCATTTAAAACTGTTCACTCCTAAGTAAAAAGAATAAAATGCAATTTGAAGGATAAAAGGCTTTTAAAAATATTTCAATTAAAGCAATTCAACAGCTCCTAGCCCCTTCTTTGAAAACGTTATGTCTTAAAAGCCTGTCTACACTTGCTAATGGAACGACAACAAAAAGAGGGACAGTCTGACCTTCAAGGGAAGGAAATTCCAGAGTGATGGGGCAGCCACTGAGAAGGCCCTCTTTTGCATCTCCACAAACGGTACTTGTGATGCTGGTGGGACTGAGACAGGGACCTCTCCTGTGGATTTCAGGACTCAGGCAGATTTATACAGGGAGATGCTGTCTGCCAAATAATCTGCACCTCAGTCATGTGGTGCTTTATAGGTTATAACTAGCACTTTACATTCTGTCAAGAAACAAACAGGCAGGCAGAGAAGCTGTTGCAACAGGAGTGTAAGTATGGTCTCGGTAATTTGCCTTGGTGAACAATCTGGCTGTAGCTTTTTGGACCAGCTGGAGTTTCTGAACTCTCTTCAAAGGCAGCCACAAGTAGAGCAGGTTATAGTGCTGCAGACACAATGCAACTAAGGCATTTACTACAGTGGCCAGATTGGATATTATAAGAAACAGGCAGAGTTGGCGCACAGATTTAAATGTGCAGAACTACTTTTGGTGACTGTAAAAACCTAAGCCTCCAGGTTCAAAGAAGACTCCAGGAGTAAACCCAAACTGTGGACTTATGTCTTCATGTGTTAGATGTTAACTTCATCTAACACAGGCTCAATCCTTCTTCCCTAATTGCCTTCTGATATACCAAGAGCACTTCTGTCATGCCTGGATCACCATTCAGTTTGTTTACTCTCATGCCGTCTACTACTAATGGCAAACACTGGCTTTGGATTAGAACAGCCTTCTTGGATTGAGGTGGAAAAGAGTCATAGTTAGGTGCCAAATGTATATTGATGGCACCACTCTCCAAATCTCTGGATAATCCCTTCTAGTGACTTTATATATCTACATCCATAGTAGCAAGAAGGAGAAAATAAATCCCCAGGTTTCATCCCAGTAAAGTTGCCCAGAAGGAAACCATGATCAATGGTACCAAAAGCTAGTGAGAGGTCCTGCACAACTAACAAGGCCATATTAATTCTGTCCAGTTCCCTGCTTAGGTCATCCACCAACATGACCAAAGCGGTCTTTGTTTTGTAACTAGGCCTGAAACTAGACAGAAATGGTTCTAGATAATCCATTTCATCCAGAAACAGAGTTGAAAAGCCACTACACACTCCAATCCTTTGGCAAAAACCGATGGGTTAGACACTGACTGATAATTATCCATTATAGAGGATTTAGGGTAATCTTTTCAACAAAGACTTCACAGCTGCCTCCTTTAGGCAAGCAGAGCTCTGTCTTATTGTAAGAGGCACTGACCCATTCTTTCATCCACTTAAGTAGTTCCTCTCTGGTCTGTTGTACGTTTTTTAGGCTGTATGGCCATGTTCCAGAAGCATTCTCTCCTGATATTTCGCCTGCATCTATGGCAGGCATAAATGCAGGTGAAATGTCAGGAGACTGTTTCTGGAACATGGCCATACAGCCCGAAAAACTTACAACATCCCAGTGGATTCTGGCCATGAAAGCCTTCGACAATACCCCTCTGGTCTGTTTGATAAGCCAGGAAGGGCAAGAGAGCCAGCACATGTATAGTGGTTATCATCATTCCAATGACATCCACTCACATCCTCAGGCTGTACAATGCTTTGTCTTATTGTAAAGTACCCAATAACACTGGACAAACCAAGACGGCATCCATTAAAATTATCATATTTACTCAAATCTAACCTCACTTTTTTGGCTAAATTACTTTCCCAAAATTAGGGTGCACATAAGATTTGCATAATATGGCAATCTTAGTGCTGAGCCAAAGCAAAAGGGGAAGCTACTTCAGGAGCACCCGGAGCTCCTATTTGAGAGACATCTTCTTTAATTTAATGATCATGGCTCAATGCTATTCAATGCTGGGATTTGTAGTTTGGTGAGGTATCAGCATTCTTTGGCAGTCCCATGATCCCAAACTACAGCATTGTGCCAGGATAGTTAAAGTGGATTCATTCTACAATATAGATGCACCCCAAGGTTTTATTTTCAATTGCTGAAAGCTTTGGCATTGTAGCACTTTTGTTTTTAAAGAAGGAATTATAAGCATACAACCACCATAATGTGCACCTTTTTTGGCCAAATTACAGAGTGCACTTTTTTGCTGCTGTACATTACATTCGCCAGCAAATGCTTTTTTTGGTTTTAGGGTTTTGAAAATTGAGGTGTACATTAGATTCGATTAGACTTCAGTAAATACGGGCAATTGCAGGGAGCTGTCCAGTGGTCTGCATTTTGTCCTTGAGGACCAGTCACCTAACCACTCTAAACCACTCTGTTTGGCAGCTCCTTGCAAATTCAGGCTCTCATATAGGCTCTAAGCTTTGCTCAGTCAGACTTTTTCTCCTAGTCTCTATCTCGTTTAGTCCACCCCCTTCCAACTCTCTTCTTTTGTAGCTTACACCAGCCTCCCAAACCAAGCTCATTTGGCAGACTAGGTGCTCCACTTGACAAATGGTTTGTCCTCACCTGCATGCCAGGATTTTCGGCAGTGTTTGCCTCCAGGTGTTGTGCTCCAGACTGGGAGCCCACCAGTCGTTGGCTGCTACTGAAATATGGAGGGGGACAGTCCTACAGAATATTAAATAGAAAGAGAGCTTATATTAATGGATATAGCTACCTCACATTCATACTCTAAATATTACTTTCTTTTCCCTCTTTTCTTCCTTCCTACCATGCTTTTAAAAATCAATAAAATATTAAAACAGAAATACAAAAAGAGGGAGGGAGAACAAAAGAAAAATACACACATAGAGGCTTCCTCTTGGGACATTCAATTTAGGTGTGACAAGCTGGCAGTAGAGAACAAAGGTGACAAGGTAATTATGAGAAACATTGATTCTACTATATCCTTAGGCATTTATACATATGGCATGCATATATATAAGACAAGAAACCTGAGAATTTCATTAAACTGGGTAGGATTATTTAAGGTCTTCTCTGAGATGAAATCAACTGGAAGTAACCAGAAGCTTTTTTAAAATTTCCCAAAATGAAACAAAACATCCCTTCTTCACACACCCTTCCCACATACCCCTTGTAGGGAGGAACTACATTTTATTCCATCCCACAAAACAAAACAAACATAAGAACTGAAACTAAGTTTGGGCTGTTGCTAACTAAATGAAACCTTTATGGGTTCTTATTTATTATTTAAATTTATTTAAACCTTTTATATCCCGATCTTCTCAACCTCTGTAGAGGGACTCAGACCGGCTTATGATACAGCATTAACTTAAAAGTCCTCTCTTGAAAGAGACACTTAGGGGGCATCTTCACCAGTCAGCGCAGGCCAGTGCAAATCTATCCTCAAAGCAGACCAGTCTTTGTGTGCCAAATCTGAGGATACTGTCCAGATGGCCAGGGGCTGCATCCACTCAGCTAGATCATCACTTCCTTTGTGTTGTTGCTGCCAGTCTTCCTAAGAGACTATGAAGCTCTGCCCAAACCTCTGGCCAATATGGGCAACTCTGCTGATCTTATGGGCAAGAAAAGAGGGGGGTGGCCGCATACGTACATTTGCACAGTGAGTCAGGCCAAATCAAAACCACCTCAAACCCAAAATATTGTCTGGAGATTCCAGACAATATTTTGATTCCAGAGCATCCCTCAACTTTGCCAAAAAAAAAAAAAAAAGGGGGGGGGGAATCAGAATATAGTGACAAAACTTGCAGTATTCACTGGAAGTCATTGTGTGTCATTGGGACAGCCAGTGGTTCATTTATGATGAATACAGGGTTTTGGATTAGTGTAGACAAGCCCTTAGACCTGCTTTTCTTCCATGTGACAGACATTTTTCTGAATCATTTGCTGAAGGCACTATTTTCTGGAGCACTTCACTTTCAACTAAGCTTCGCTTTTTATGGCTGGGTCCACCTTGAGTTAAACATTGTATGACACAAACAATATCCAGGATTAAGCTCTTGAAAAAAAAAAAGACCCGCTGTGTCTGGGCAACTAGGAAAGAGCTTTCTCCTTTACCCTGTCTCTCCGACACCTGGCAACATTTTTAGATTGCAAGAAGCTATTTTCTGGTTTCCTTCCAATTATCATTTGTGGGAACGCCTTCCCTGACTCATACTAGAGTAGTTTCCACTCTCTTAGAGTAGGTCTGGGTGGAGAGATGTCAAAACTGTGAAATCTAACAGATTTTAAGGACTCCAAGAGCTAGGTAAAGGCAGGTAGAAAAGAACAGCTCATGGGATGAGGGCATGCAGGCATATTTTAAAATCAAAACAACAGCATGCAGTACTATAAAAACTAATGGGTTTTATTTAGCATACACTTTCATGAATTGTATCTCAAGCACTCAAGTTCAAGTGGGCTAGAGACTGCAAAAGCTTCAGTCAAATAGCATTTGTGTTCTTAGTGGCCATAATTCTTCACTGTTTTTGTCAAGCCCAGATTAACCCCATCTTATTTATTTATTTACTGAGTTGTTACTAAACAGCTGGGAATCTCAAATCCGTATGGACTGACTGCAGTCACCCAGAGGTTTGCCAGCAGATTGTGAGCTGCAAATAAAAGAGGCATCCAAAATGAAAAACTCCCTCGTGAGGAAATAGTCCAGTGTTTGGGATCCTTTCACCGAGAAAAACACTGTGTATGGGAATAATTGCCTTATTATGCAGAGTTAGGAATGGAGAGAAAACGTCTGGGCCAAAACTGACAAAATGAACTTCTGGATTGCTGCGAGTTTTCCGGGCTGTATAGCCATGTACCAGAAGCATTCTCTCCTGACATTTCACCTGCAGCTATGGCAGGCATCCTGAACTTCAAAGGGCACTACAATTTGACAGAAAAATGAAATGAAGAAATGTAGGAATGGTAAACACCTGGCTTGCAAACAATACAGCTAGAGAGTTAGAGATGAGCAAAGGATTTAGAGGTCTAAGCAGACCACAGATCCAGACGATGACAAGATGAAATCATTGTATTTAAATTCACATTAGAAAAAATTGCCATTATTTAATTTTTTTTCCAAAGTCTGGATAGAAAAGAGTAGAGATTTTAACATTTCAGACTGGGAAGGAATAACTGAGTGATGTTGTCATCATCTCTAGCTATGGCCTGATATCCCATGAATTATACTAGCCCTTTTGACACGATGAACAAAATCTGGCTACCAGTATTAAAAAACTCTAAAATTACAACAACGAAACAACAGAGAGGAAACAACCTGGGACATCTAATCATCTCAACAAAAGATTGCCCCAGGCACTGCCAGGACATCAAATGCTAATCAAGGTGGTCAGTTGAAACATTCACACCTAGCTCCAGGAGACAAGAGGCCTTTGTCCCACCCTGGTCATTCCATAGATATATAAACCCTTTTTCCTAGTTCCAACAGACCTCTCAACCTCTGAGGATGCTTGCCATAGATGCAGGCGAAACATCAGGAGATAATGCCTCTAGAACATGGCCATATAGCCCGAAAAAACCTACAACAACCCAGTGATTCCGGCCATTAAAGCCTTCGACAATACATTAGACATTCAGTGTCTTCCAACAAATCCCTTTATGAACAAAAATAATGAGATCTCAGAACAGCTCTGAAATCTGAATCTGAAATTTGAAAAGTGGAAGCACAAACATGTGTGGAGCAGATGTTGCCTCTTTCTTTATGCCTGCTAGCCATGATTCACCTGACCCTGAGCCTGGTCCACACTGAGGACAGGTGTGCTGTGCAGCTATCTATCATGTAGCCTCTTCAATATAATTCACACACCAGGGGATGGCAATATCTTGAGGTCCGAAGCCTTCACAAGACTACCCCCCCCCACCCCCGCCAAGCCTGCTTACAAAAATGGTGCATAGTGGACTCAAAGGGTGTGATGGGACATGTTATTCTGCTTTTGGGAAGCCCAACCTGTTTCAACCCTGTAGGTCCATTTTTTCAAAACCTGAAATAACACTGAGTCACTTCCAATTTTAAATCCATCCACCCACCCCACAGGCCTAAAATAGTTTTCAGCCAAAAGAAATTCAAGCATGGGGGAAATTGGGAGAGGGACATTATTTCATACGGGGCCCTCAGGGGAAAGGTGTGCCCACCCCTGCCATGCACTGATGTCTTCAATGCGTGTTCATATTCAAGGCATACTCACAACAATTTGCCTGCTTGCACAAGACTTTCTGTGTGGCAACCACAATAGAACAAGGCCTCCGTATGCCCAGTGAAGTAGCACAAAAGCCAACTCACACAAGATAGTTCAAAAGAAAGGTTGGGGAATATGTGGTTTTCAAGTCTCAGCTGAACTACTTTCTGCAGTTGTAATTAAAGAGTGGACAATATCTGCATCAAAGATTTGGTACCAGGAGTACCAGAGTAGCTGCAGAAGGTGCAAATATGAAATCAAGAGGCACATTTCCGTCATGGCAATGGATCTAACAGCTGGCTCAATCATATGCAAGATCCTCTTGTGATCACTCTGAGCCCTTCCGCACAGCCCTATATCCCAGAATACCAAGGCAGAAAATCCCACAATATATGCTTTGAATTGGGTTATTTGAGTCCACACTCAGATAATGTAGGATTTTCTGCCTTGATATTTTGGGATATAGGGTTGTGTGGAAGAGCCCCATATCATTTGGCTTCATGGTGATCTCAACTGCACAGTTGGAGATGAGGTTTCAAAGCCAGATGCAGCACAGTAAGCACTTGAGAGTCCTTTAGGGCTAAGTCTATGGCAGCATCCCTATAAATTCAAATACTATACTAAAAATAAGCCTAAGGTACTGCAAAAGATAAAAGGGCTCCATTATGAAAAGCTTTCAAGGTGAGGCAGCACTGCAGCTGAGCAAATGCATTTACTCCAGCCGAGATATCTACCAATCAAGCCCTAAGTCATCTTAACGTATCTATAAACTGCAAATTTATAAATAGTACAGAACCATTAAGGAGGACTGGGCTCATTCGGATTGGATTTTGTGGGTTTCTTTTTGCTAAAAACAGTTTAACAAAATAGAGGTTGTTATATTAAGGTTATTTTTCATATCCTTTACAAAAAATATGCAAACATTCTTTAATCACAGAATCACATTTTTTTCCTCAGGCCAGGAACGATGCAGATGCCAGTTACTTCAAGGTGATGTTAGGAAATAACCCCATAGCCAAGGAAGGGAACCATTGGTATCATGAGCCAAAACTAACCTACTGAAGCTGTCAATCAGAACCACAGAGATTACCCACCAGAACTCCTTTGGATGAGAGAAGGGTGGAGCAAGACAGACTTTGCTCCCATCTCAACATCCTACATGAGCAGCAGGAAGAGCAAAAGAAGTCAGAGAGTGTTTAGAAAGCTGGCTGAGCCCATATTTTGAGATAGGACTGAACAGCAATTTTGAGCTGTGTAATATAGAATTACAGAGCCCTCAGTGGAGCAGTGGGTTAAACCACCGAGATGCTGAACTCACTGATTGAAAGGTTGGCTGTTCAAATCTGTGGAGTGGGGTGAGCTCTCGCTGTTAGCCCCAGCTTCTGCCAACCTAGCAGTTCGAAAACATGCAAATGTGAGTAGATCAATAGATACCACTCTGGCGGGAAGGTAATGTCACTCCATGCAGTCATGCCGGCCACATGACCTTGGAGGTGTCTACGGACAACGCCAGCTCTTCGGCTTAGAAATGGAGATGAGCACCAACCCCCAGAATCGGACACGACTGGACTTAATGTCAGGGGAAAACCTTTACATTTACCTAATATAGAATGAGGAAGGAATTTATACTTTTAATCATTGTATAGAAGACAGGATTCCATCAGGTGTTGCTTGTCATGTGCCCAGGTACTGAGGAACACCTGCTGAAATTCCATCTTCTGCCTAACCACAAAAGGTACCAGAATCCTCTCCAGTTTTGACTCTGGCAACCCCTTTAATGAACAACAGACTAGTCTGGATTTGCGTCTGTTTATGTATAAATTCAGAAGGAAGTAGCTCCCTGACACAGGAAGCCCAGAATAAACAAAAACCTTCTGTACAGCCTCCTGATTATCCTATCGAAGCATAGATCTTCACAATGTCTTACCCATGGAAAAAAGTGTAGTTTGTGTGCGGGTGTGTAGGAGGGGAGGACGAGAAGAAGGGGGAAATGTTCTCTCTTGGCTGTCCCCAGTTGTGAGCGCTAGAAAGTATAATTCCGGTTGCTGGGATACCAGCAAGCAAGAGTGGCATTGTCTGTATTTACCCGTGCCTTACAGTAACATGCCCCACTGTGTTCCATCCCTTCAGGAAAAAAGAGGGAGGCCTGGCTCTGAAAGAGCGTGCCAGGGCAGGAAGGAGGGCACCATTCTCTGTGGCACGCAGGGAGTTTTGGTGACATGAGTCACTCCAAGTGTGTTATACACTATCCTGCTTTTGCATTTGAATTATTCTCACATAGAAACACACATAGCTGATAGTTACATTCCACGCTCAAAGGCTGCCAAATGGGGACAGGCTCAAGTGAAAGGGCTTTGTTGGTAGACAAGAGCAGGAAGTAAGCAAGGACCTTAGGAGCCCCTTGGTGCCCAGTACTGAAACGCAGCAGGAGAGCACTGCAAATAGACCTGGAGCTTTTCGGCAATGAAAAGGATAAAAAAGGGGTGGGGAATGAAGCTGTTTCACACACAGTGTGAGACCAGTGCTGCGCAGAGCTAATCTAAGAAAAGGACCGAGCAGGGTGCCCACAATTCCCTTCAATCCAAAAGAAAATGGGCTCTTTATTCAGGACTAAGGGTAGGTGGGTGGATTATGAAACGTGGCTAGGCAGGACTGTTGGAAAAGCTGGAAACGGCAGATGGGATACTCACGTATTGACTGGGGCTCTGGAAGAAACGGCAAGAGCAGAGAAACTGGCAGCACATAGGGTCTCGGTGGTACAAAAGCAGCAGCAGCACCAAAATGGCTATGATGAACACAGAGGAAGAAACTGCTATCAGAGAAAAGAAAAGGGAAATAAAATTGAGGGGGGTGCACAGTCTTAGACTATCCACAACTAGAGGAGAGGTATCTCACAGCAGCTTCCTCCTACCAGATGCCTTCAAGACATTTTAGACAACTCCCATTATCTCCAGTATGCTAGCCGAGGATGATGATAGTTTTGGCCAGTACATCTGGAGGGCCCCAACTAAATCCAACAGGCCATATCTGTATTGTTGTGCACTGTAATTGCATTTATTCCAACCCAACATAGGGCCAGTAGAAATGAGTATCACAGAAATGGGTCCCTAAAGCAGGACTCAAATGGTTCCACTGAGAGCCGACAAAAGTTATGGAAATCACCATCATCCTGGTCATAATAATTGTCCTGGCTTTTCTTCCCCAATGAAAGTTCAAACTCTTGGCAGAAAGATTGGTTGTTTTGTAAAATTCCAAAAATAAAAAGGGTTACAATGGAAATACACAATCCTGATATAGCACATTTATTCCGTCTTTGTGGTATAGATCTGTAGCATTTCTACATCATTGGAAATACAAAGTCAGACCATGAATTGTTTCATTGGCCCAAGATGATAAACAGATATTTGCCTGCCTATCTATGGTAAGGAAGCTTGTCTCCATTTGATTACACAAAGATTACACTTGAGTGGAAATGGTTTTGTTAATATGCCAAGAGTGATTAATGCAAATACATGTGAGCTATTAGATATACCTATGGACTTGTAGCCTCATTTATAAAGCTGTATTGGGCCAATTTATGTTGCTAGATGAGTGACAATAGCAAGAGCTTTATGTAATAGCTGAATGAGCTAAATGTTACTTATAAAAATAGATAGAAATAGTGGCAATCTTACACAGCCAAACTTCTGCATAGTTACACATATGCAACCATATAAGGCCCCTTCTACACTGCCATATAAAATCCAGATTATATGCTTTGAACTGGATTACATGGCAACGTAGACTCATCTAATCCAATTCAAAGCAGATAATGTGGATTATCCAATTTGGTAATCTGGATTATATGGCAGTGTAGACGGGTCCTAAATTACACAAAACATTACCATGCAGAGTGAGAAAACAGCTCAGTTTTCTAAGGCTGGACATTATCTACAGAATTTTGTCTTCACCCAGTTATCACAGCAGACATGCTGGGGGAATTCACCTTTTAGGCCAAAATAAAATAGGACCATCTACAGCATGCAGACTAATTCATGAAGCTTGGAGGCAGCTTCAAAGTACAATCGTGCATGCTGTGAAAGTGTGCTGCAATGCACTTTAAGATTTGTTGTTGTTCATTCGTTCAGTCGTCTCCGACTCTTCGTGACCTCATGGACCAGCCCACGCCAGAGCTCCCTGTTGGCCGTTACCACCCCCAGCTCCCTCAAGGTCAGTCCAGTCACTTCAAGGATGCCATCCATCCATCTTGCCCTTGGCCGGCCCCTCTTCCTTTTGCCTTCCACTTTCCCCAGCATAATTGTCTTCTCTAGGCTTTCCTGTCTCCTCATGATGTGGCCAAAGTACTTCAACTTTGTCTCTAGTATCTTTCCCTCCAGGGAGCAGTCGGGCTTTATTTCCTGGAGGATGGACTGGTTGGATCTTCTCGCAGTCCAAGGCACTCTCAGAACTTTCCTCCAACACCACAGCTCAAAAGCATCGATCTTCCTTCGCTCAGCCTTCCCTAAGTTCCAGCTCTCACATCCGTAGGTTACTACAGGGAATACCATGGCTTTGACTAGGCGGATCTTTGTTGCCAGTCTGATGTCTCTACTCTTTACTATTTTATCGAGATTGGACATTGCTCTCCTCCCAAGAAGTAAGCGTCTTCTGATTTCCTGGCTACAGTCTGCATCTGCAGTAATCTTTGCACCTAGAAATACAAAGTCTGTCACGGCCTCCACGTTTTCTCTCCCTCTATTTTCCAGTTGTCAATCATTCTTGTTGCCATAATCTTGGTTTTTTTGACGTTTAGCTGCAACCCGGCTTTTGCACTTTCTTCTTCCACCTTGATTAGAAGGCTCCTCAGCTCCTCCTCGCTTTCGGCCATCAGAGTGGTGTCATCTGCATATCTGAGGTTGTTAATGTTTCTTCCAGCAATTTTCACCCAGCTTTGCATTCATCCAGCCCCGCACATCGCATGATGTGTTCTGCATACAAGTTAAAAAGGTTGGGTGAGAGGATGCAGCCTTGCCGTACGCCTTTCCCAATCTTGAACCACTCTGTTGTTCCATGGTCAGTTCTTACTGTTGCTACTTGTTCCTTGTACAGATTCCTCAGGAGAGAGACAAGGTGGCTTGGGATGCCCATCCCACTAAGAACTTGCCACAATTTAAGATAAGATACAGTATGTAAATTTAGATAAGCAAAGTCGGGGGATACTGTAATAGAACCCGTAACGTACACCAGCACGTTCTACTATAAACTACATCACACAATGAAACTGGCTCCGCAGAATGTGAATTGCTGTGCAGACACCCAAAGTGCTCCACTAATATGTACACGTGCATTCCCGAAGGTATCTCTCTGTGGATGACCAGCTGCAGATACTGCACGTTCTGAAACTAGTTCAAGGCCAGTCTCTGTGATGTGTGTTATCACCATACAGGTATTGAACTGGTTTCAGGATTACAAATTTAATTACCCACATACCGAAACCACTTTCTTCTATGCCTGTTTGAAAATGAACAAAAGTGGTCAATATAGATGTCCACTTAGAAACTTCCACACGAAAGGATTATAGCAGTTTGACACCACTTATAATCCTGAGACTTGTAGTTTATTATGGCACCAAAGCTGAGAGGTAAAGTATCTCACAAAACTACAAATCCCAGAATGGAGTATCAAACTGCTATAATTCTGGAGTGTGTATACAGCCTTAAGATTGCAAACTTCTTGCGGATGAAAACTTTCCAAATCTCTTTGTTAAATACCAAGGCTATTATGGCTAGTACCTAGATCTATATATATATATAAATGCTCTGTTCGTTTTGAGTGACATCATAACTCAAAATCCGCTGGATGAATTGCTGCCAAATTTGGCCACAAGACAACTACTAACTCAAGGAGTAACCATCATTCAAAAAATTTGATTTTGTCATTTGGGAGTTGTAGTTGCTAGGATTTATAGTTCACCTACAATCAGGAAGCATTCTGAATTCCACCAGCGATGGAACTGAACCAAACACGGCACACAGAACTCCCATGACCAACAGAAAACACTAGAAGGGTTTGGTGGGCACTGACCTTGAGTTTTGGAGTTATAGTTCTCCTACATCCAGAGAGCACTTTGAACTTAAACAATGATGAATCTGGACCAAACTTAGCACGAATACTCCATATGCCCAAATATGAACACAGATGGAATTTGGAGGAAATAGACCTTGACATTTGACAGCTGTAGTTGCAGGGATTTATAGATCACATACAATCAAAGAGGATTCTGAACCCCACCAATGATAAAATTGAGCCAAACTACACAAACTACCCTCATGACCTACATAAAATACTGTGTTTTCTGGTGGTCTTTGGCAACTTTTCTGATACCCCCATGTGACAACCCCCCCAAAGGGGTCCTGACTCCCAGGTTGAGAAATGGCCCAGTCCAACCCTCTTCACCAGGGCAAGAAATTATAATCAAAGCCCTTCTGACAAAGAGTCATCCAGCCATATAGATATATATGATTCACGCACACATCTATATGACAGATATAGTAACATAAATTTGAAAGTGACCCCTAAAGAAGGACAATTATAAGTTGTATGTTCCAGAGTAGGCAAACCAGACAATCTCTACATCAACACTGTGAAACAACAAGAAATACTGTTTACCCACAAGCATAAAGAAATTACATATATTAGAAACCAACACTTTCTCATTACTTTATTTTCCAGATCACCAGACTGGGCCACAGCAACGTGTGGCAGGGGGCGGCTAGTAAATATATAGATATCACGAACCTTTCAAGCAAGCATGAGATATTATCCTATATTTCCAAGACAGCAGAAGTAGTGTTTGAAAGCAAAGACCAAAATAAACAAGCAAGCAAGGTGTCAACTGAACAAAACTTTATTTGTTTACTTGTCTTGGATTATAGTGTGATACATTTCTATCTAGTTCTTCAGTAGTAAACTTTTATAAGAAATGTTCTTTCAAAGCATTACAGATAGTTCCAAGTAATGTGCTGTTCTAAAAGAAAGGGTGTGATGCCATTTTATTAGCATTTTGTATCCTTCTGTTCCAAATCATTGTCTGTTTCTTGATAGAGGGGGCCGAAATACAAGGGGGAAAATGGAGAAGACTTGAAGGGAAAGACACAAGAGACCGATGCCTGTGAATCTTGACATTTTCTAGTCTTCCTTGGAAACATCAAGAGGTAGACAAAAATGAAGAGGGAATCTTAGAATATGTGGTTCAGAAAAAAATAAAGATATTGTCTAGGACTGCCCTAAGATACTGTGTTTCCTGAGCTAAATAACAATATGGCTCTTACATCTGTTCTGCAAGCAAAGGCCTACAGATATTCACATCAGCAATGAGTACATTAAAAATGCTTCACAGGACAGATTATTTTAATGTGTGTCTCTCTGTGTGAGAGAGACTCTATAGTACACAAGGAACTTGCCTCCAACACTGGGGAGGAACACTGTGATGCCCATAATACATGTCCCCTATACTTTTGGCATTTATATCTCTGCCTAATGGAAGAGACAGCATTTGGGGTTTCCACACACAAAACATTTTCTCACCCAGAGCAATACTACAAGGAAGATAGTGGAAATAATATATAACCATCATGATTATTACCCATTAACAACTGCATCCATTGATAAATCTTAAGCACCTTCTGCATACTGCATAGCTTTTCTTCAATGCATCTTGCTCTCTCCTTGCCTACCCTGAAAGATTTGCAGCAACCTGTTGCACATCACACAATAATGTGTACCTGCGGCCATTGCCAATTTCTATAATCTTTTCTTAGTCAGCAGCACAAG